TTGCCTGTCACTAAGCTGCTGATCGTACTGAATGAGCCTGAGGTTGGTCTTTTTAAGGAATAAGATTCACTGCGGTGATTGGTCCCTCTTTAAATCTTGAGTGCTTTGCACTGGTGCTATGATCTGTTTAAAGGTGTTTTTCTTTTTCTCATGTTTTATTTGTTTTCAGTGTTTTTGCAGAATTCTCAGCCAGTCTTTCATTCAACATCTCCATATTCTCTCCTCTGAGAATTCATATTAGACATTTATTAGATCTTTACATTTTATGCCCTTTTAACCTCTTTTCTGTATTTCTGTTTTTCTTTGCTGTGTTTTGGTTGTTTTCTTAATCTTCCATTTCCCTATTTCTTTTTTAGCCATGTTTGATCTATCCATTGAGGTGTTTTGGTGGGGGGTGTTTTTTTCATTACAGCAGTTATATTTTTCATTCACAGAAGTTATATTTGATTCTTTTCAGGTCTGCCTGATGACTTTTTATTCTTTTCATTTTTTAATAATTTCCTTTTTTCAGATTTCTTTCTTTTTTTTCTTAAGATTTTTATTTTTTTTTAAGATTTTATTTATTTATTTGACACAGAGAGAGAGAGAGATCACAAGTAGACAGAGAAGCAGGCAAAGAGAGGGGGAAGCAGGCTCCTGCCGAGCAGAGAGCCCGATGCGGGGCTCGATCCCAGGACCCTAGGATTACAACCCGAGCCGAAGGCAGAGGCTTTAACCCACTGAGCTACCTAGGCGCCCCTAAGATTTTTATTTAACTGAGAGAGAGAGAGAGATCATGAGAGGGGAGAGGGTTCCAGGGAGAAGCAGACTCCCTGCAGAGCAAGGAGCCCAATTCTGGACTCGATCCTGAGACTCCAGGATCATGACCTGAGCCTAAGGCAGTTGCTCAACCAACTGAGCCACCCAAGCGCCCAAGATTTATTTATTTCGGAGAGAGAGGAGAGCATGCACACACATGTGTGGTGGGAGGAGGGCGGGGGTGGCACAGAGGGAGAGGAAAGAGAATCTCAAGCAGACTCCCTGCTGAATGAGAAACCCAATGCAGGTCTCATCCCAAATCATGAGATCATGACCTGAGCCAAAATCAAGAGTCCGTTACTTAACAGACTAAGCCACCCAAGTGCCCCTTTTTATTTCATCTTAAACAATTTTGGGGACCCCTGGGTGGCTCAGTCAGTTAAGTATCTGCCTTCAGCTCAGGTCATAATCCCAGGGTCCTGGGATCGACCCCCACATTGGACTCTCTGCTCAGCTGTGAGCCTCTTCTCCCTCTCACTCTTTCCTCCTCCCTCTCTCTGTCAAGTAAATAAATCTTTTTAAAAAAAAACGAAAAACAGTTCTTGAATAGTTCTTTTATACTCTGTCTAGCAATTTCCGTGCCTATTTGGGATTCCTAATCTATTTCTACTGACACTTGTGATGGATTGCTTATTATAGGTTGGATTCTTGATTGTGTACTCATACTTGGTCAAATCTGTGGGAGTGCTAAAAGGCCTGAATTGTAGGTGATTGTTTCTTGAAATGATTCAGGATGCTTTTGCTGGGTTTCCTGGGGCACTAGTGGCCTGAAACTAATGTCCTGAGCTGGGGATTCCCTGACCATCTAGGGTAGTGTAAGTTATATCCTCAGAGGTACAGGAGAGCAGGCTTGTGATTATAAAGTCCCAGAGTAGCCTCTCCACCCAGAACATGGGCAGAAAAGACTCACTTGTAGGTCCTCTTTTGCATGTAGTCAGATTTTTTTTTTCCCTACCTACCCTTTCATTGAAGTCGCAGCCTCCTTAGGGATTTTGGTCTCACTCGGGGGTTTCCAATTAAGTTCCCGTGCAGTAAATGGTAAGTTTAACATAGAGTAAGTTGATTATAGCTCATATGTATAGTTCATTAGTATTCTTTCCTAATCTAAGAAAAAAATACTGAAGGAACACCACTTCCCAAGTAGAATGTAGCTCCCCACCTAGTGTGTCCTGGATTTGTCAAGTTAATTCATCCCTGCAGTGCTTGGGATATAGTCAGAGGCCTCAGACTAGGTACATTCAGGGGCTTATAACCCTTGCATTGTACAGTTGATCATTTTCTTTGTGTGCTGGAACTACAGAAAAGACTGCATATTCTATATCCCTCTTAAATTACCATGATGTTCATAAGTATATTAAAGGTTTAAAGAGGCCTTGAGGGGCGCCTGGGTGGCTCAGTGGGTTAAGGCTCTGCCTTCGGCTCAGGTCATGGTCCCAGGGTCCTGGGATCGAGCCCCGCATTGGGCTCTCTGCTCAGCAGGGAGCCTGCTTCCTCCTCTTTCTCTGCCTGCTTGTGATCTCTGTCAAATAAATAAATAAATAATCTTGTAATAAATAAATAAATAAATAAATAAATAAATAAAGAGGCCATGAAATAAGAAAAATTTTCTAAATGTATTTGAGCGTAATACTTTTTTTTAATACTTTTTTTTTTTTTTTACGTTAACAGCCTGTAATGTTGAAACCGAAATGTTTATCATTGTTGACCCCCTGAAACGACAAGGTTATATTCGCTGGCAAGTAGAGTCCGAATAAGATACTCTGCACTGACATTTAGGGGTCAGTAAATATGCATTAGCTGCTAACTGGGCTGGCTGGAAAATGGGTATAAAAGATCATCTCTGCATGGATGTGAGCCATATGAATCTACTAGAACTTAAAATTCTAGCCAGTGTTTATTAAGTGTGCATTCCAGACACTGTGATAAATATTTCATAATGTCTTTCCATTCCCCTCAGGAAAAAAGAATGTATCACTTCTTGCCCTGGCCTTCAAGGGTTCTCATGATGTGGCCTCTATATCCTCCTGCAACCCCATCTCGTAGACCTCTCACACAGCACCAGCCACACTGGCCTTTCAGTGTGCCACATATGTTCCAACCTTGTTCTTGTTCTTTGCCTAGAATATTCCAGCACCAAATATTCAATTGACTGCCTTTTTTGGCATCAGGGTCTTATCTCACCAAGGCCTTTCCTCACCCCTGAATCTTAGCTGACCACTCCTGCCTCAGTTTGACTCTGACTTCACGTGGCCTTGCTTGGATTCCCCCCTGCCAGTAGACTGGTAGCCCGTGTAAAAAGCGTGAGTCTTGTATGCTTTATTACATTACTCTGTCTTTAGCTTCTGCCACTGTGAGACACACAAATGCTTGATAAACAGTTGTTGCATGTTCAGTGAATAGGGAAAGAAGCTTAAAACTTGTTTCACAGCTGAGTTCACAGCCAATGAATGGCAGAGCCACGACCCAAACCTAGGGCTATCCGAATTCTGTGCTGTTAGCACCACCCCTCACTCTAACAAGGATTATCCCATTCCTTACCACCTTATCAGTTCAAAATGTGGCTAGACTTTCTTTTGGCATTACCCTCAGAATCTTACTCTTGAAATCTGGTGGTAGCAGATTTTGATTCTTTGAAAATACATTTTTTTTTTTTTTTTAAATACCTGGAAGTTATTCTGTTAGGTAGTCAAGCTAGGGAAAACTGTTGAGGGAAATGGAATTACAAAGTAGCCACATACAATACGGTTTTCTTCTTAAAACCAGATCTAAAAGAGAGTTCTAAAAGAAGGATACTTTAAGAAGAAGGGGCCTTCCTTTTTTTTTTTTTTTTTTAAGATTTTATTTATTTATTTGACAGAGATCACAAGTAGGCAGAGAGAGAAAGAGGAGGTGGAGGCAGGCCTCCCGCTGAGCGGAGAGCCCGATGCGGGGCTCCATCCCAGGACCCTGGGATCGTGACCTGAGCCGAAGGCAGAGGCTTCAACCCACTGAGCCACCCAGGCGCCCCAAGAAGGGGCCTTCTTAAAAGAAAGTATTCATTTGGGTATAAAATAGTTCCATTGTGTGGATTTAGAAACGGATTGTGTCACTTTCATAGTTATACCTGATACATGGGAAAATCAGTTTCCCATACCTGCGTACCTAAAAATAATTGCTCAGTAGCTCAGTATCTCAAACTAAAAGATGCATTTCCTTGATTTTATTTTTGTCAGGCTTTGAATAACAGATTTCAGCTTGGTTATTGGTCATGGTAGGAAGTTAAACCAGACCTGGAAAGAAATTGAGCAAGAAGTGTAAAATGATACCCAAAAAATACTAAATGAAGCAAAAGAATAAGGATGGGTGCCAGACTTTAAAGATTGGTTGATACTTTGCCCTCTAGTTGTAACTCACTGTGTATATTTATGTCATTTTTTTTGAAGTTTTCTTTTTGTTCCCTGTATTGCTCCTATTTCCTTATAGATTATTGTTTCCTGAAGATTTTGTTTCTCTTTATTTTCCTGTTTTCTTTCTACTTTCTTCTCACTAATCTCAAAGTTTTGCGGTGTATTATTGTATTATTGTAGATATCTACAGTTTCAGAGCTGAAAGGCAAATTGAGAAATCATTTATCTGTTTATTACGTATATTTCACCACAATTTAAAAAAAAAGACAAACCATCTAACCTACTCTTTTTTTTTTAAGTTTGTTTTTTTTTTAATTTATTTATTTGACAGACAGAGATCACAAATAGGTAGAGAGGCAGGCAGAGAGAGAGGGGGAAGCAGGCTCCCCGCCGAGCAGAGAGCCCAATGCGGGGCTCCATCCCAGGTCCCTGAGATCACAACCCGAGCCAAAGGCGGAGGCTTAACCCACTGAGCCACCCAGGCGCCCCTAACCTACTCTTTTTTATAGAGAAGTGACCCACCTAGTTTATGGCAAAGCTTTAATTACGTGGTGATCTTCTGATCCTACTCAGCGTTCTTGCTGTCACCATTGACATTCTTGTTCGCTAACGTGGTAGCTGATGAAGTTGCACCTTATAGAAAGGGAAGCCTCTGTTTTTGAAACAAGCGTTTCATTACAAAATAAAATTATCATTTCTGGGGGCTAGATCTTCATTTTTCAGATACCACTTACTACAATTTGAACTAAGTTAATTGAGGGGGTTGGGGGCGTATTCATTCTGTGTCATGGATCATTGATTTCTTCTACTTTCAAGACCGAACATTCTTCACGCTCTGAAAGGAAAAGGAGAGACTCATTCGGGATGTTTGACGGTTATGATAGCTGCAGTGAGGACACGAGTAGCAGTTCCAGCTCTGAGGAGAGTGAAGAAGAAGTTGCTCCTTTACCTTCGAACCTCCCAATTATCAAAAACAATGGACAAGTGTACACGTACCCCGATGGTAAATCTGGCATGGGTGAGTATTTCCAGCCTTCCACTGTTACTCAGCTTCATGATGGAGGTTATGTTCTAGTTTGATTTCTTCTGTCATTTCCCTTCCTTAGAATTTTTTAAGGAAAAAAGAAACACAGTCTGAGGCTTACAGTTGGGAGATGAGATCCTAGATTTCGGTTTGAACTCTTTATCTTGCCTACCTGCCGTATTCTGGCGGAAGGCAAGGAGAACAAAATAAAAACAAAAGGCTACTGAGAAACATAATGTGGACATGAATTCAGTCATCAGATAGTAAATCCCCATGTAACTGAAAGTGTGTAGGATCACAGGCTTGTAGAGTTAACAGACGCTTGCAGGGTAGAGTCTTGCTTCTCTACAGAAATTCTTCATGGGATGTTTTCTGTTAACACTTCCATTGATACGGTATCTGTGATTACCAGAATATCCGTTATATTGCACCAAAATTATCCATGCTCTGGATTTTGTTGTTGAGTCTTAATTTTGCCTTTTAGAGCTACACAGAATAATTCTAATCCTTGTTATAGTGGTCTCCCTTCCCACTAGAACACTCTGAGTAACTCTAGTTGCTTCAGTGATTTCTCATAATATTACAGTGTATTTTAATTCATCGGTATGTCCTGCTCACCATCTTCTAGGCATACTTTGAATTAGTGGTAATGGGGTGACAGCCTGTCCTGCCTTGCCTGAGACTGTCCTCTTTTTAGGATTAAAAGTCCTCTACCCTAGAAAGCACCTCAAGCAAATGTTTGGTCACCTATGTAATTAGGACAGAAGGTAGTTCTGCCTTCATCTCCCTTTCTCGGGACTGTGTTTCCACTCATGCCCCTGAATTGCTCTAGCTTTTTTTTTTTTTTTTTAAGATTTTATTTATTTATTTGACACAGAGAGAGAGATCACAAGTAGGCAGAGAGGCAGGCAGAGAGAAAGGAGGAAGCAAGCTCCCTGCCAAGCAGAGAGCCCGATGAGGGGCTCGATCCCAGGACACTGAGACCATGACCTGAGCCAAAGGCAGAGGCTTCAACCCACTGAGCCACCCAGGGGCCCCTGCTCTAGTTTTTTTTAAAGTAGCACTGATTTTGCATATAGCTGAAACTCTTTCATCTTTTCTACAACTTGACCAGTAAACCAATTAAACCAGTTTTGTGCATTTACAGTTAACTTTTTTTTTTTTAGATTTTGAAGTAATCTCTCCATCCAGCATGGGGCTTGAATTTAGAACCCCAAGATCAAGAGTTACATGCTCCACCACTGAGCCAGCCAGGGACCGCAGCTTTCTGTTTTTCAATAAATGGTATGAGGCTAATTTGAATATACTTTTAGGAAAGGCACAAGCAAGGGCTATGGGAGCATGAAAGGCATGCTGAATCTTCACTGGGTCCAACCAGAGAAGGCTTCACAGGGCAGGCAGCCTTTGAGCCAGCTTTGAAGGACAAAGGTAGAAGGCGTGGGAGAAGCCTGTGAAAGGAGGGAACTATACTAGCAAAGGTTGGGAGGTAGGACTTTGAAGGAATAATGCTGGGCCATTCAATTATGGCAGACACATAGGCGACTAACCACAAGAAACATCACTGAGAGATGAAAGACCTGGAAATACAACCATTTTGTGTCCTGCAGTGCCTGAAAACATATTTTTAAATCAGTCAGTGCTCACTGAGGGCCTCCCACAGGCTTCTGATACTTGCTGTCAGCAAAAAGGCTTCATATTGGCAAAAGCTAAGGGACACACTCACACTTCATTTGGGAGCCAGACAAGGTCATCTCCAAGGACATCACAAAGACTTAGGCACAGGGGAAAGAAGGTAGATTAAGCAGATTTGGAGTTAAATTTTTGGCCTTGGGCAGGGTTCTAACCCAGTGAGCCTGTTTTTCTGTCTGTACAGTTGAGCTGTGGTTACCTGCTAGGCAGAGTGGCCTGAAGGCAGGGGTAAGGGAAGTATCCCCAAAAGCCCCATCTGGGGCTGCATACACCAGAGATGCCTGAGAACACCGAATGGGAATAGGATCCAGCCTTGTTTGATACCACTTAGATTCTGAAGTGAGTCCGCCATGATACCATCCTGATTTTAAAATTGAGGAATGATTCAGGGCCTGAAGAGGACCCAGGAATGATTTCAAACTTACTCCCAGGTTGAGGCTGTAGTGAAATTAGTTTCACATTTCTCTTAATGGCTCTCTTGATAAAGGGAAGCAGAGTAGCAGTGATCAGAGCTTAAATAACTGTCAGAACCTCAGCTGCCAAAAGCCAGGTTCCGAGGCCTCGCCATGGGTCTAAGGGCAAAAGACTGGCGCTGACCTCCGCAGGCCTGTCCATCAGGATGATGGGCAGCAAGTATATCTGCAGAGTTTTCCCCTTTGGATACTGGATGAGCTGCACACTGTGCTGGTCCTCGGAGACCTCTCTCTGAGTGTGGCAGGATATCTGGTAAGAATGAGGCACTTCCTCAGTCCCCAAAGGACAGGCTCTGGGTTTGGAAACAGAAAAGTTTCTGGGGGCTTTCCTTTTGAGACAAACCTTCTAACCCCTTTCCAGCTACAGTTGATTTTTTTTTTCTTTTTTAAGATTTTATTTATTTATTTGAGAAAGGGAGCACACATGCACGCCCAAGTCAGGGGAAAGGGGAGAAGCAGATGCCCCACTGAGCTGGGGGCACGCCACTGGGTTAATTCTCAGGACCCTGGGATTGTGACCTGAGTCGAAGGCAGCTGCTTAACCAGTTGAACCATCCAGGTGCCCCTGCAGTTGATATTTTAAATCCAAGGCTTAAGACTTTAAAATTATTCTGGGAGCAACCGGGTGGCTCAGTTAGTTAAGCATCTGACTGTTGATTTCTGCTCAGGTCATGAGATCCAGCTCAGAGTCAAGCCTGCTTAAGATTCTCTCACCCTAGGGGCCTGGGTGGCTCAGTGGGTTAAGCCTCTGCCTTCAGCTCAGGTCATGATCTCAGGGTCCTGGGATCGAGTCCCACATCGGGCTCTCTGATCAGCAGGGAGCCTGCTTCCTCCCCTCTCTCTCTCTGCCTGCGTCTCTGCCCACTTGTGATCTCTCTCTCTGTCAAATAAATAAAATCTTTAAAAATAAATAAATAAAAATTAAAAAATTTAAAAAAGATTCTCTCACCCCCTCCCCACTCCTAAATAAATAAATAAATAATTTCACAAAACCTGTTTCTTACTAAATTTTGGTCTTTTTAGAAATTTTTTATTTCTGATTCTGTCATTTAATGTTGAAGGTTGTGTTGTATAATATTCTAGTTTTGTGCCATTTGCAGATTTGATGATAATGCCCTATAGGTCATATTCTAGTCTTTCAATTAAAAAGTTGAACAACACAGAGCCTGGTACAGAGAGGTAGGCCGTATCAAAAAATTTCCCATCACTGGGGCACCTGGCCGACTCACTTGGAAAAGCATGTGACTCTTCATCTCAGGGCCGCCATGAGTTTGAGCTCCATGTTGAGCGTAGAGATTACTAAAAAATAAATAAATAAAACTTTTTAAAAATTGGGGTTGCCTGGCTGCCTCAGTCGGTAGAGCATGCAACCTCTGATCTTGGGGTTGTGGGTTCATGTCCCACATTGGGTATAGAGATTACTTAAAAATAAAATCTTTAAAAAAAAAAAAAAACTTCCTGTCATTTATCAGGACCAACTAACTAGGTATGGTCATGTGGTCAGTTAAAACCTACCTGGATGTCTTCTACTTCACCTTAAATTTCTTGGTCACTATTGACAAAGCTGCCTGAGATTTTATCAAAGTGTTAACTCTTTTTCTTCTCTTTTTAAGTTGGGTTTTGTTTTGTTTTGTTTTTGACAGAGATAGTGCAAGTAGGCAGAGCAGCAGGGAGAGGGAGAGGGTGAAGCAGGCTTCCCACTGAGCAGGGAGCCCAAACGTGGGGCTCGATCCCAGGACCCTGGGATCATGACCTGAGCCAAAGGCAGACGCTTAACTTACTGAGCTACCCAGGCGCCCCTAAATGTGTTAACTCTTAAAAAAAAAAAAAAACTATTAATACATAAGTTGACCCTCGAACAACACGGGTTAGGAGTGCCAATCCCTCACACAGTCAAATATGTGTGTAACCTTTGACTCCCCAAAAACTTAATTACTAATAGCCTACTGTTGACCAGAAGCCTTACTGATAACTTTAACAGTCGACTAACATGTTTTGTATGTTTTTTACATTATATAATGTATTCCTACAAAAAAGTAAGCTTCTCTAAAGATTTTTAGGACAGCCATAAGAAGGAGAAGATACATTTACAGTACCATATTTATTGAAAAAAATCCACATACAGATGGACCCACGTAGTTCAAACCCATGTTGTTCAAGGGTCAACTCTATACTCTTGCCATGGTTTAGTTTTACCAGTCCAATACTAGTATCACAAAAGGAAATAAGACTTATTGAGACTTTATGTGTCCAGGTCTGTTTTAAATACTAGAGATGCAGAGAGAAACAATACAGAATAGCGCCTGCCTTGGTGGTGCTTACTGACTCGTCCTGGGAATCATAGTTGGATATGTAGAATTCTTGACAAAGATTCACTGTCCCTTGGGATCACTACTTCTTTATCTAGATGGTCACAGACCTTTTTACTTATCTGTTCTATAATTTTTTCAACAGAGAACCATTCCGTTTTTTCTCTCTTTAAACATGCTTTCTTCATCTCTAATCCTGTGGTACCTTATCTTTCTTTCATGATTTCACAAGAGATTTTTAAGTACTGATGCAACTTCAGCTCCCTCCAGTTTAACTGGGTGGAGATTTAAACCCACTCAGGCATTTGTTTGCTGTGTTACTTTCTGGGTTTGTTTTTTTTTTTTTTAAAGATTTTATTTATTTATTTGATAGAGAGATCACAAGCAGGCAGAGAGGCAGGCAGAGAGGAGGAAGCAGGCTCCCTGCTGAGCAGAGAGCCCGACGAGGGGCTCGATCCCAGGACTCCGAGATCATGACCTGAGCCGAAGGCAGCGGCTTAACCCACTGAGCCACCCAGGCGCCCCTCTGGGTTTGTTTTTTTTTTCCCCCCTCTTTTGAGGAATAAATGACAAATATGGTTGTATGTATTTAACATGTGCAACATGATGATTCTGTATTTACACACACACATACATACATGTTGTGGAATGATTACCAAGATCAAGGTAAGTAACCTATCCATCACTTCATATAGTTCTTCTTCTGTGTGTAGGGTAGTGGAAAAGAACATGATATCTACTCCCAGCAACTTTCCAGTATGCAGTACAGTATTTTTTTTTTTAAGATTTTTTTTATTTGCCAGAGAGAGCGTGCACAAGCAAGGGTGAGCCGCAGGCAAAGAGAGAAGCAGGTTCCTTGCCGAGCAAGGAGCCACATGTGGGACTGGATCCCAGGACCCTGGGATTATCACCTGAGCCAAAGGCAGACAGACACTCAACCAAAAGGCATCCCCGCAGTACAGTATTATTAACTACACTTACCATGCTGTATGTTAGATCTTCACAATTTACTGTTCTTATAATTGAAACTTTGTACCCTTTAACCTACATGTCACCAACCCCCCAGAGGCTGGCAATCACCATCCTGTTTTCTATTTCTATGAAATCGGCCTTTTTTTTTTTTTTTTTAAAGGATTCCACGTGTAAATAATCCCATACATGATTTCATTTAGCATATGCCCTCCAGGTTTAACCCTGTTGTCATAAATGGTAGAATTTTCTTCTTTTTTTGTGAATGAATAGTATTTTATATGTGTGTGTGTGTATATATATTTACACACCACATTTTATATCTCCATCTATCAGAGTACATGTAAATGTTTTCATTATCTTGGCTTTTGTGACTTATGCTGCGGTGAACACGGGAATGCAGGTTTTGATTGAAATACTGATTATCAATCAACTAATTATTGACAAAGGCAACAAGAATACAGAATAGGACGAGGACAATCTCTTTAATGAATGGTGTTGGGAAAACTGGATATGCACATGCTAAGGAATGAAACTGGATCCTTGCAGCACTCAACAGAAATTAACTTGAAATGGATTAGACTTTAACGTAAGACCTAAAATTAAAACACAAGAAAATAGGGGAAAGCTTTTTGACAAAACTGGTCAAAACACTGGTGATTTCTTGGTTTAGACACAAAAGCAAAAACAAATGGGACCGGGTGCCTGTGTGGCTCAGTGGGTTAAAGCCTCTGCCTCATCGGGCTCTCTGCTCAGCAGGGAGCCTGCTTCCTCCTCTCTCTCTCTCTGCCTGCCTCTCTGCCTACTTGTGATCTCTGTCTGTCAAATTTTTTAAAAAATCTTAATTTAAAAAAAAATGGGACTATAACAAACTAAGGAGATCTACCCAATAATGGAAGCAGTAAATTGAAAAGGCATCTTACGGAATGGGAAAAAATATTTGCAAATCATATCTGATAACTCCTACAACTCAGTAGCAAAAAACAAACAAAAATTCAAATGAAAAATGGACAAGAACCTGAATAGACATTTTTCCTAAGAAGACATACAGATGGCCTACAGGTATATGAAACAGGCTCAACATCACTAATTATCAGGAAAATAACGATCAAAACCACAGTGAGATGCCACCTTACACCTGTTGGGATGACTGTTACCAAAATGATAAGAGATAACAAATGCTGGTGAGGATGTGGAAAAAAGGAAACACACTGCTGATGGGAATGTAAAGCTGTATATAGCCATTACAGAACACAGTCGGGCAGTTCCTTCGAAAAACTGAAACTAGAACTGTCCTGACCCAGCAGTCCCACTCCCCAGTTCATATCTGCTTACCTATTTTGAACTTCAGTTCTTGTGACCCTTCTTCTAATTCTGCCTTTCAGATTGTTGTCCAGTGTGCAAATTTACAAAAGAGGCACATTAGGAAGTAGAGTCTTGTTTTCCTCTTATCAGAGGGAATAATCAAGCATCTACCTCAAGCTTTGAGCCTGTCCTTTCCTTCTTGTCCTCTGAACATAACGTGAAAGAATCTGTGTATTACCCTTAGCATTTTCCTGAGACTTGGCTCTTTCAAGGTCGTGCTTCATGTTAAACGTTGCATTGCACTTCTGCTTATGTTTTGTTTATAATCCTCTCAAAAGGCTAGTGCTCTTAGTGTCTATGAAAATGCCTGGCACATGGTGAGCACTAAGGACATGTAAGTGGAATCTGCTTTATATTTGTTTGTGGGTTCGGACCCTTTGTAAAACCTGTTAGACTTTGAGCTACGGTCAAGACTTTCTGGCTCCATAGCCATGGCATCATACCAGTCTTTTCTCTAACTTTCGTGGAGGCTTTTCCATCGTTTGTGTAACAGAAGACATTGTATGTCTCATGTTTAAAATAAAACCTTTAGGTAATAAGTTATTAAAACTGTGAGATTAAAAAATGGTTTTACTTTATGACCGTGACACCCGTGTTTTCGTTTTCTTCATTAGCTACCTGCGAAATGTGTGGGATGGTTGGTGTGCGAGATGCTTTTTACTCCAAAACAAAGCGTTTCTGTAGCGTTTCATGTTCACGAAGCTATTCGTCAAACTCCAAGAAGGCAAGCATTTTGGCCAGACTTCAGGTAACGGTACAGAAACCTTCTTGTTCCTAATATCTGTTATTTCTATGGCTTTAACTGTTTACCTTTCATTTGATTGTGATTCACTGCACTCCACTCTACCCAGTTGGCCAGTTCCCACTTTATACCCCACTGTTCGTTTGGGGGTTTTTTTGGAAATATATGGTCCCCAGAGTTTGCTCCGTCCATAAAATGGAGCAGCTGTTATAAATAGACAAGGCATACTATCCAAAGTAAACTATGAACTGTTTCTATAAGTGAATGAAAAAATGTCTTCTTTTTCTGAATAAGCATAAATATAATAAACACCTTGTTATGTACAGGAACTGAAGCCTTTCTTCCCCCTGTTTTCTTTTGAGTTAATATCAAGGTAGAATCATTCAGTATTTGGGGGGAAAGGATTTACCCTTTGGTGTTATTTCTCCATCATCTTTGCGTTGTACTCCAGATTGCAGCCTGTTTGATACCTTGAACAAATGTGTTTGGTTAATCCAACTAACCTTTTTGAGAACGTTCATGGTATAAAAAGAAATTCATCTTTCTTTAAATGCACAGCAATGCCTACAAAATGGAGATTTGACCGTTTGACTAAGTTGTTACTATTATAGCATATAAACAATGTTATTAAGGCACTTAACTGATTTCTGTAATATATTTTATTTGATCACATTTTGCTTACTCTGCTTTAACTTACTGTGATCATTACATAGCACTGAAAGGATTATATAAATTCCCCAGATTAAGGAAATACATCACTTAGATGTATTTCTATATTTCAGATAGACAGTACGTAAGATCCTGAGCAGTGGTCTGTACCCAAATGGATGGCAGTTTGTCACACTGTGAATTTGGCCCATGATCATTTTGTCATTGATCTTTTGCGTTAGCACTAAAGGTATAAACCTCAGTCACTTGCTCTTTAAACATTAAATTATCTTCTCTTACCATATAAATAGCAATGCTTTGCAACCTGCATGAGTGAATAACCACTGGTTTTATCTAGTAGAAGAAGGAATCAAGTCCACCACAGCCTATGTTTAACATCTTATGGGATATAATTTTTTATTAACATATTAATTTGCATATTGCTGTTGTAGTCTGTGCCAGCTCTGCTACCCATGTTAGATGTCTACACTGTAGCAGAACTCAAAAAAAATTTCTCATATTAAAATATCTTGTATGTTTCCTCTGCTTTAATAATTTTCTAAACCCTTGATGTTACTTAAGCAGAATGAGTAGTATGCAATCAGGTTAATTTTTTCGGTGGGGGGGGTGGATGAGAAAGAATCCTATTTACTTAACTCTTCTTGTTTCAGGGTAAGCCTCCAACAAAGAAAGCAAAAGTTCTTCAGAAACAACCTTTAGTTGCTAAACTAGCCGCCTATGCTCAGTATCAAGCTACCTTGCAAAATCAAGCAAAGACTAAAGCAGGTAATATCGGCGAATGTAATAGAGGTGAAATATTTGATACTGATTCATTTAGTTTGACTTAATGACATTTTAATTTCGCATTTTTGTTAACTAAGCTATTTCTAGGCCCAACTAGTGTATTATGACATTAGGCTTCCTCATGGTTGTTTTGGTTTCAGTAAATTATTCTAGAAGAGAGTAGTTGTATTCCCAAGTTCACAGTGCTTGGGGCAGTATCCTTAGCATTTTTTATTTGGCTTATTATTTTCTGTGTACAGGTTCTCTATGCTGTGGATGGTGGGGAACGTTGAGGAGATAAAAAGCAAAAAAATAAGACATTTAGCAATATTTGCAGGGAGTGGGGAGAAGAGACTAGCAAGAAGAAGAGATTGAGGAAAGCATCATTTCTAATAGAAGATTCTTGATAGGAGGGTGACTGGGTGGCTCAGTTGGTTAAGCAACTGCCTTCAGCTCAGGTCATGATCCCGGAGTCCTGGGATTGAGTCCCATATAGGCTCCAGCTCGATGGAGAGTCTCCTTGTCCCTCTGACCTTCTCCCCTCTCATGCTCTCTCTCTCCCTGTCTCTCAAATAAATAAATAAAAATGTTAAAAAAAAAAAAAAAGAAGAAGAAGAAGATTCTTGACAGGAAAGCAGAGAAGTAGGGAGCTGTAACAGGGAGTAAAGCAATGAAAAACCCTCCGGAAGGTATCTGTGGCAGATACCGGATAGAGATCTCATTGAGGTACCCAGTAAAAGCTGCTTGGGAATAAAAACCCAAAAGCCATCACGGCATTCTTTGAACACTTCTGCTCTCAGCTGTTCTTCCCCGCTGATTACTGAAGAGCCTTTCTTCCTTCGCTTTCCACACAGCTTATACTATGTATGGAAGACTTAAACTGCTATTTGTTTGCAGGTATGATCTATGCAAAAGTTCATGTTTATTCAAAGAAGTTCTTAAATCTTTACAGGAAAAAAAGAAAATTTTCTTTCAAGGTGATAAGTTAATTTTGTGTCATTTCACATTGTCTTGTAAATAAAAGGTTTGAGAATTGTAATACATCTACATGTATTTTTTTTTCCCCACAGCAGTATCCATGGAGGGCTTCAGCTGGGGTAACTACATCAATAGCAATAGCTTTATAGCAGCTCCGGTTACCTGCTTTAAACATGTGAGTACGGAATTTCTCACCTACTGAAACGCGTAGTCATTGTTTAAAGCCGAAGATACAATAACATCGAAGTATCTTGTCTTTAGAAGGTCTTTATTTTATACTTCGTCATAAAAATGTTACTTTTTATTATACTTATTAGTAATAAAAACAATTTCTAGAAGTTGTGCAAGTGTTCTTTAAAGAAGTTATCATTTGTGGGCAACCCTCTCAGGTCCCAGGACCTCCCTCTTTGGGAGCTTTGTGCTATCACTTTGCTATTGCTCAATAAACCTTGCTTTCCTGCCCACCAAAAAGAATAAAAAAGTAAATTATAACTTGAAATTACTCAAATAGGAAAAAGTACTAGTCTTCTCTAATTTTCATATTAAGCTGAACCATATACAGTTGCTGGTTTTGTATGTCATGTGTATTGGCAGTGTTGTATGGTTCAGCGTAACACAAACGTCCATCTTGCACGTTACCTAAATCTTTGTGAGCTGACCTGATAGTTCAGAAAAGGAAGGATCTTTCTTCCAGTTATGTTTTTGCCTCCAAAGGTAAAATCACAAAAACAAAGAAGGAACTGTTAGTAATATAGCATTGTGGGCTGAAATATGTGACACATACCAGAAAACCCTTTGCAGGATGTCCTTTTTGGCAAGTAGATTCTTATAGAGTATATGAAGTAATTCAGAATTAGGTTAAAAACATTATCCAAAGATAAGTTTGTTCCTTTTGCTCCTCTTCCTTTTTGTTAAATGATCTGTGATTACTTCTCTCCAATACTTTTTTGACCTTACTACAAGTTTAATTTATATTTAAAGATTCTATCTGCTATTTTAAAAAAAAAAATCTGTTTGCTACTATGTACAAAAAGAAAAGAGAATTTAGAAAATTAATGAATGAAATTTTGCTTACACTAAACATTTTCTTAAGTTAGGACTTACACTTTCAAATAACAGCATGTGGGCAAAACTGAGCTTGAGTTCTTGCTGTGGAAACTCAAATGAATTTTCATTAGTTCACGGCCAATACAGACTCTTGATCAAGGCAGAGCATATGAAAGCAGTGGTAGAAATATAAACTAAAGCTGAGTTCCTTAATTTGCTAGTTTTTTTTCCTGAAAGTACAGGTGTTCAGCCTTAGTTGGTGGTATAAGTGGGATCCTAGATAACTTTATTCAGTGCAAAGTAGGTGACGTCCTTCACCGTATGGTAGATAGTAGTGTCACGTTTGTGAAATAGATTAAATAAATACACAGCAACAGAAAAGAACGGCAAAGCAGATCTTTCTCTTTCTCTCTACAGTTCTTTGTGCTTTTGAGAAACTCAAACTCAGCATAAGTTCTCAATTACAATTTAACTCCTTCATCTCAGATACCTGGAAATTTGTTGTCTCTTCTGAATAGCCTTTATCTCTTTTCCTGTCTTTAGTATTCTGGGGTTAGTTTATATTTTGATACCACAAACCATGTAAAGCTGTGTTATGTAAGTAGTCAAGATATTTTTTTTTTAAAAGCATTTCAAAATCCCAGAAGCACATTTAATTTCATGTCCATGTCTATTAAAGTTCTTTGTAAGAAAAATCTCTACTATAATAATGAAACTGGTTTTGTTTTCAACTCGGCTTTTTTAAGATTAAAGTGTTCTATCATATAGATTAAAGCAGCTAGCCTTATTGTATTATCAGTAATGATACTGTGTGCACTCCCATTTCTCACTCAGGAGCAAAGCATCTGTCACCCAGTGTCTTCCTTCTCCACTCATCTTTCTTTACTGCCTTTTTCTCATTGAGTAGGAAAGCGACTGATAACGATAATTTCTTAGTTTATTTTAGTACAAATGAGTTTGCTTTGTTGCCTTAACCAGTATCTTCACTTGAATCCCTTTGGTTTCGGTCAGACCTCATGCTGCACTTGATTTTATCCTTCAGAGCTCGTTCTTCCCCCAGGTAGTTTTCTAGGTCTCCAAGGAGAGTTACTGGCTTTGGCTTTAGGAAGTCTGTTGTCAGGAGCTGCTGGGAGCGCAAGTCCCTGCCTTGTTTCATCCATCTCCTAGTGTTCTAAGACTCAAACTGCCTGCCCTAACACTGGTTGATCAGTAAGGCCAACTTCTTCTAGATTCACTTCTGCCTTGTCCCCAACTTGAGCACACGTTGGGGGCCTTTTCCTGCTCATAGGGGATTATTTTCCAAACATAATTTTAAGAAACATCCCGTGTGTAAGATGAAAGCATAACTATTCTGATTGAACCAAAAATTGGGGCTGGGAGCAGTGTCCGAGCCCTGAGTTGAGTGCCTTACCACTTTAAGGTAACCCAACCTCTTCTGGAGTAAGGATCATAGGGAAACAAACACTTTATATTTCCTGGCACTTAAGTGTGATTCTGATTAGTTTTAAAATCATAGGATTTCAGCAGTGGATCTCTTTTTTTCCACAGTCTATCGTTAAACTTCTGGGAATAAAGTTTCTGCGAAGTGTATCGTAGGACTGTGTCCTCTTTGATAATTACTGTAATTATTCATAGTGCTTCACTGAGTTACTCAGTTACAGCAATGTTGACATTTTGTATAATTAGCAAAGGAAATTGAGCCTCAACTGTTATTAAATATACCTGCTTCCAATCTGTGTATCATGATTGCCATGTACCTAGTATATCTTTCATTCTGTGTAGGTCGTAGTTTGGTAGTTTTGAGACTTTTTCTTTTTTCTGGTTTTTGATTTTTGGGGGTTTGTTTGTGTAAGCTTCAGAATTATTACTCTTTTCCCTAATAGACATAGTCAGGTTAAGAGGAAGCTGTACTGACTGCCCTGGCAAGGATGGGGTGGGGTAGCCAAAACCTTGGCCCCTGACCCTTGGCTTCCCCTTTTCTGGCGGTCTCAGGAGTTGGAAACCACGGAACTGGGTAATAACATTTTTAATTAATCCTAAATCATGTGGTCACAAAACTGTAATATATCTTAAAAATCATCTAGTTCATCTAATCTGTCTCTTATTATAAATGAGACTCTTGCTACTTTTTTCAGTAGCTGGATTATATTTCAGTTTTGGGCTTTGACCTTCTTTCCATAATTTAAATTTTGTTTTGGGGGTTTTTTTTCATAGTTTTTAATTAAGCCTTTATAGAGAAAACGTTCCTGTGCTTCTTTTACTCATACACTGCTACCACACAGTATTTCTGACACCAGACGTGCAGGTTTTCCATACATCAAGTAATTCTCCAACACCAGCTGGGTGTCTGACAAGTCAACTTGGTTCTGACACTGTCTACCTGGAGTTAATCATATCCCTCAGGTTAATCATATCCCTCAGTCCCACAAGACTAGCCCCACTTCAGTTACCAATCTGAAGTCCCAGGTGTTACCTATGCTTATGACCAACTGGCTGCAGATAAGGGTTCCCATGACTTGTTCTTTGAGTTCAGTAACTTGCTGGAATGGCTTACAGGGAAACGAATCCTTGCATTTACCAGTTGATTATAAAGGGGATAATAAACAATACAGGTGAACAGCCAGATGAAAAGATACATAAGGCAAGGTTATGAGAAGGCGCATGGAACTTCCCGCTCTCTCTGGGTTATGCCACTTCCTACCAGCCCCATGTAATCAGCAGCCCAGAAGCTCTCTGAGCCCCATCTACAGATTCCTTATCCAAATGTCCGCTTTCTACTACTTCACTTTTACAAAAGGCCTGCATTAGTACTCGCTGTCACCAACCAAAAGAAACCAGAAAAGGATTTTTGCTTTCAGGAAACAAAAAGCATTTCCTCACCTTATGCTGTTTTGGCTTGCAAAAGGTTTAACAGTTATAGTTAAGATTGATTTTATCTACTTCCGGATGGCAGGGGAAGCCTGTATTTTAGGATTCTGATGAAGGCTTCATTGTATAGGCATGATCAGCCATGAGCTCAGTCTCCACACCCTCACCCTTTCCCAGGGGATTGGGGACTGGGGCTGAGAGTTCTAAGCTTCTACTCATAGGCTGGTCTTCATGGTGACCAGTCCCATCCTGAGGCTATCTAGGAGCCCATCTAGAGTCTCCTCATTAGAACAAAAGGTGCTCCTATCACTTAAGAGATTACAAACCATTGAGGAGCTCTATGTCAGGACCCAGGTCAGAAACCAAATGTAAGAACAAAAGATGCTCTTAGTGCTCTTATCACTTAGAAAATTACAAGGGTTTTAAGGGCTCTGTGCCAGGAACAGGAGCAGAGACTGATTATACACACACACATACACATATATATGTATCTGCATATATTTCTATTTTTTTCAATATATATTTCCTATTGTTTCACTATCCATATCTATCCTAACTGGAAAAATCCACTATATTACTGAAGTACCAATGCCAGTTAGGTGTACAGTATACATTCATGAAATTCACAGGTGATTTTCTTCTAGTAATTTATGTTTGAACCCAAGAGAGCCTCCAGTTGATCAGCGTGTATGCAGAACATTGAATTTTAAAGCAATCTTAATTTTTTTTAAAGACTGTAGTCCTTTTTTTTTTTGGACAAAGGGATAGAGGGTACATGTAGGCAGAGTGGCAGGCAGAGGGAGAGGGAGAAGCAGGCTACCCCCTGAGCAGGGAGTCCAATGTGGGGCTCGCTCCGAGGACCCCAGGATCATGATCTGAACCCAAGGCAACTACTTAACTGATTGAGCCACCCAGGTGCCCCAAGATTTTATTTATTTATTTGACAGAGAGAGAGATCACAAGTAGGCAGAGAGAGGGGGGGAAGCAGGCTTCCTGCTGAGCAGAGACCCTGATGTAGGACTCAATCCTGGGACCCTAAGATCATGACCTGAGCCGAAGGCAGAGGTTTAACCCACTGAGCCACCCAGGCACCCCCACAAGAGTTTAGTCTTTTAAATTGAAGCAGTCCTATTTCCCGTGACTTACCTTTTAAAGTTAAGTAAACATTTCTTTCTAGACATTACAGCACAGAACAAAATATGCTACTATCAAGTGGATGTGAAACATATAAACCAAACCTTAAAATCCAAAACACACATGACTTTAGTCATGTACTTACAGATTTGAAATTTCTTTCATTTGGTACTGGACTGTATACTCTGGTGTCTTTGCTAAGACCAGAAATCATCCTTCTTTTTTCTCTCTTGATAATAGTTGTAGTTTTGTTAGTTTTTTTTAAAAGGCCCTTTGTACACATGTATACCATAACTTTAAAGCTGACTTTAGGGGTGCCTGGGTGGCTCAGTGGGTTAAGCCTCTGCCTTTGGCTGAGGTCATGATCCTCAGGGTCCAGGGATCGAGCCCCTCATCGGGTTCTCTGCTTAGCGGGGAACCTGCGTCCCCCCCTCTTTCTGTCTGCCTCTCTGCTTACTTGTGATCTCTCTCTCTGTCAAATAGATAAACAAAATCTTTAAAAAATAAAAAATTTTAAAACTTAAAAGAATAAAGCTGACTTTACTGCCTCCACAAATATATCTGGTATCACTTACATGATACATTCTAATCCTCTCTTGGACACCTGAACTATATGCCAGGTGTTTTGAGAAGGTAAGGTTATCTGCACTTCTTTGCAACACATATCACAAGTGTGTTTTGGATTTTAAGGTCAAAAGCACAAGTACTTTTGTTTGTGTATGTACAGTAACAGTAGTTTCTCTTCATAGTAAAACTTACGATCCATTTCTCAAGTATGTGTTTATTAGTAGAATAATGCATTTCAAGTAAAATTATTTTTTGGCTTTTTTCCCTTAACCTTGATTACACATACACAGGACTCCACTAAAAGTTTGAATTACTCATGTCCTTTCTCACTTAAGTGAGAACCTCCAAGATGTCATCCTAGATTGCAGAATTTCTTTCTAATGCAAATAAAGCTTCAGTTAGTTCCTGGCATTTATTAGTGCTCCAGCTGAGTTAGCTGTCACGGGTCTCACCGTGCAGTAGAATTTGTACAGGCAAACAGTGGACTCTAGAATAAGAGAAATCGTGCTCGCTTTGGCAGCACATATACTAGAATAAGAGAAATCACCTGTCATGTTTTTATGTTTTAAAGAAAGCCTAAATAGTCTAGATTATTTTAACTTTAGTCTGTTCTCTAAAGTGGTTCTGGATTTGATCTCCTGATTGTTCAACAGTATTGACTTAATACATTGTTGTTGGTTTTTTTAATGGTGGGCTATTTTACGCCTTTCAAATTAGTAGTCACTGCTTCCTATCCCTTTTTACACATACATAGCCTTCTCCCATTCTTAATCTTGCTTCCACCCCACGCATCCCGTTTTCCTTTTATGCTCTTCTCACACTCCCCCTCATCCTGCTGCCACCACCTCAAAAAGTAGATTCTGGTCTCAAATCAAAAGGTGAGTGGACTTTACGGAGAAGGCACAATTTTTTTTCTTATTTCAACCAACCAATTCCAATGAGTAGCATTTAGGAGTTCTCCTTTCTGTCTAGTTAATTTCCTGTAATGTTTTCTTCCCTTTTTGGCCAAAAAGTATTTCATCTTTCTCTACTGGATGAATCTTAATACTCATATGCCTGTTAGTCTTTCATTGGTGGCTTTTTGTACAGTTGTCATACCATCGCTGGGATAGATTCTTTCTTGGTTACCTCTGTGCAGCTTCAGGCCTAACTTCTGCCCACTTGTTGAAGATTGTGGGTGGTTATCAGAATAGGTTGGCAGTTCTGTGGAGGGAAATTTGTATTTCTGCCATGAGGCATCATGTGTACAATGTATCAGCCCTCTGAGAGTCTAGCCATCTGGGCTGTTGGACTGTCTGGGAATGTTCTTGAAGTGCAGGAAATAAGACTTCCCACCCAGTTATTTTTTTATAGACAGTCAGGTGGAGGTTGTCATTCATTTGTGCTGGGGAGCCCTCAGTGTTTGGATCTGGCCATGTCCTGCAGGACCTGATGACAGCTTACCTTGCAGGGAAGGAGAGTCGCTCCCAGATAGCCCTCACGAGTGGCCCTGGAGCAGGAAGTGGTGAAGCAGATCTTCCTGATTTGGGAGGAGCCTGAGGTGGACCTCTCGTCCTGAGTCTGGAAGGTAAATTTGTTGTTACCTGTAAATTATGGTTCTGCTAGTTCATGCTATGCCAATCCAGACTTTCAGAGGTATCCCTCCTGCCAGCAAGAGAAGACAGATGACTTGGATGAAGATGGCTGTCAAGCCCTGGGTCATTTCGTCTTCCACAATTAAGAGTATTCATTTTAAACAAAAGGGCAGATATATCGGTGAAATTACCTTATTATTTCAACACATTGAGCACATGCTATGTAGAAACTACGGTGCTCTTTTTGGTTGTTTTTGTTTCTTCATTTTTTGTTTCTTAGAGTGAACCATATGGATTGGTTTAAGAGGGCCTAGCAGAACCACAACCTTACAGGCAAGAACAAATGTCACTTTCTGCTACTTTCTCCTATACCAATCCAGACTGTAGGGACAAAAACAGAATATCCCCCAATAAAGTGAATATTATCCTTATTTTTTAATAAGCCTATTGACCCTTTATTTTCTTTAATAAAATGACTAAAAACTATTTTCTGCAAATAATTAAGGCCAAAAAAAAAAAGTTGGTGAAATTGTCATATCTAGCTCTGAGAGGAGTACTCTATGCCAAATTCACTTAGCAGTATGCCAACCTAACCCCCAATTTATCAGCATAACCAGGCTTCTTTCTTCTCAACAAAAAATAAACCCATTCCACAAGATTTGGCAGCCAAACAAAGAGGGGCGAACACCCTGCCTTATTGTAGCATAAATTCAGCTGCATCTGTCTGCTCTAATTGGTTCATCCTCACAGAAATGAAAACATGGTCTTTATGTTAATATATCTTAGCTTAACCTACGTTACCTGTCATCTTTCCAGCCTCTCCTTTTCTGATCCTATCTGCTGGCAATAGGGATGGCCCTACAGTCTAGAATGATATAGGGGGAGATAGCAGAGCCTGAAGAGTCCAGTCTTTCAATTCAAAAAGAGCAGAAAGAGGTAGTCATAACAGATGGATTGTTTTTTGCAGAGTTAGGGAGATAGTTACGTGGACCCTTCCAGAATCACAAATATTTGAGATAGGCCGCTGTCTCCAAGTACTTCATTGCTTGTGCTACTTAAAGTAATAGCCATAATTTGATTCTGTCTTTGGTGCCCAGATGTACTCTAGTTCAGGATTATTTGACTTTTTCTTCCTCTCCTTCAGAAATGCCATGAACTATTGAGAGGATAGGGGTTGAGTACTATTTTAGGCTAACCCTCCTGTTGGGTTGGCATCCACCAAAGTATGAGAAGCCTTGCATGGAAGACATTTACCCAATGTTCAAATTGGCTAGATCGTGTAACTCCTAGATGTCTTTGGTCATCTTTGAGCTCTGAAGCTGTTTTGTCTTTTCCTGATTTGTTCATATGATCAGGTCTTTGATATCTTTTTCTCTATGTTCAAGGTTCTAAATTATTTTTAACAAGGAGCTGATTGTCAGAGCCACAGAGACTGTTTAGTATTATCAGCATTCCTAAATTCACTTACTTGATTTAATTAACCGTTGCCTAAACTTCAAATAATTATAAATGGCCTCAAGTTTTAAGGATCAAAATGTAATGGAAATTGTAATTTGGGCATGTTAGACTTGGGAAAATCTCTTCATGATACTTATTTAATCAGTTTTCTGAGTCCTCATCCTAACCAAGTAGTGTGGAAGCTAGTGATTACCAGTTCTAACATTGAATGTTTCCTCTTTGTTTATAAGTAATAAATTATGTAACAATTTGCCCCATGGTATGCATCTCCAGAAACTCTTCAACTCCACCTTTTTAATAACTTCAGCTGGTGCTTTTGCCACATGTCCACTTGAACAGACTGTATTTCTGTTTTATGAATTTATCTTAATTTGAAAATACGGATAACTAAGTTTTGTTTCTCCTGTTACTGGAAACCCCATTGCTGATTGGAAGTATTTTTCTTTCTGCTCTTTGGACAGACCCTTTAAAATTAGAGGTTAAGGTAAAGTGCATTCATTAAGCATATATTTTAAAAGTAATAAGTTTCTCTGCTCTGTCCTGTGAAATCTACTGAGTTTGTGATAGCTTTTTACAAAAATTGCTGCTCGGGTCTTATATTAGGACAATATTGAATTTTGAAGTTGGCATGGATCTATTCTAATATATGTGAAATTCTGTTCATCTTAAGCTTGCCCCTCACACTGGCTTTTTCCAAATAGAATTCTGTGAAAAGGGAAATAACAACTCTATTTTTAGAGAAAAATGAATGAATTAAATGCCACTTTTAATTTAATATTTCCGTTACTGATGGGAATGCTTATTTTACATAATGTGTTTTGGGCTTTATGTTAATAAGATGATAACTTAATAATTTTTATATGACAGGCACCTATGGGGACCTGCTGGGGTGATATCTCAGAAAATGTGAGAGTAGAAGTTCCCAATACAGACTGCAGCCTACCTACCAAAGTCTTCTGGATTGCTGGAATTGTAAAATTAGCAGGTGAAAGCACATGTAATAATTTACCAGAAAATGCCAGTTATGTTTTTATTAACTTGTAAGAAAGCATATTTGTAAATTTCACAAATATTGCCAAGTAAATGAGAAATGCGGTTATAGGGTAGAGAGTAGCAATTTTTTTTTTTTTTTTTTTTTTTAATAAAAAACTGAACAAGTAAATACTTTTAGCTTTGGCAGTACAAGCTCTGTCATGGTTCCTCAGCTTGACAATCATATCGTGAAAGCAGCCTTGGCAAGACATAAATGAATAGGCATGACTATGTGCTACTGACAACTTTATTTATGAGCACTGAAGTTTGAATTTCATATATAACTGTCACGTGTCATGAAATGTTATTCTGTGTTTGATTTTATTTTTCAGCCATTTAAAAATGTAAGACCATTCTGAAATGCAGACTGTAAGAAACATCAGGCAGTAGGCCAGACTGTGGGCCACTATATAGTGTGCCACACCCTGGTTGTAGGGAAATACTTGGAAAAGTAACAAAAATTTGAGGTGCTAAGAAGAGTGGTGAGGTCCGTAATACCAAAAGTAAACTAGTGTTGATAATTTCCTCTATGTTGGGTTCTTTTTCTTCACTCCCACTGCTTTCCATGTCCCCTAGTCCTTGCTACCTTATTACTTATCACATAAATGCATTAGGTATGTCCTTTGTTACACACTGTGGGCAGGTGATTGCAGAAGTATAACACCTCGTTTATTCCATGAGCTGCCATCTGCCAAACGCTCCCTGCATTTATGATGAGGCGCTCGGTGAGTGGTGCGGTAGGGCACTGTAGTCCCTTCATCGGAACGCAGGGATGGGGCCTACAACCACTCAGCTAAGTTGTCCTTCAGTTAGTCAGAGGTCTGATGCATCCTACTCTTTCTAGTCCTCTTTCCAGCCATCCTCCCCCAAACACCCTGCTCGCTACGTACTGCAGACAGACTTGATTTACTAAAGATGATCTTGTATTTTTTTGCTCAGGCGTCTTTTTTTTTTTTTCCTGCTCAAGCATCTTTAATCACTTCTTCATCCTTAAAGAATCGAGGTGGTTGGCATTTATAGTTATTGATGAGTTTCTCCATAGACCCCTGGCCAAAGTTTGGTTGCTTCCCAGCAGAAATGCTATCTCTGTTCGGATAAGGCGAGTTCTCCCTCCTCCCTCACAGAGCCTGTTAGCACCTCTGTGCCTTTGCACAGACATTTTACCCAGTTCGTTTCCCAGCTTTTCCTTGAAACGTTCCCCCAACTATACAAGTATTCTCTAAATGCTTGTGTTGTTCTCTGCACTGTAATTTGAAACAACATAGTCTTTCTGTCTTAGGTGTTTAAGGCAGTTATATTTAAATAGCTCTAAAGATCAGTGTGTTTAATATCCAAGAATTATTTATACCTTCCATCTCCAGTTTTACATTTCGATTTTATCTAATTATATCATATATCTTTTTTTTTTTTAAAGATTTTATTTACTTATTTGTCAGAGAGAGAGAGGGAGAGAGAGCGAGCACAGGCAGACAGAGTGGTAGGCAGAGGCAGAGGGAGAAGCAGGCTTCCCGCCGAGCAAGGAGCCCGATGTGGGACTCGATCCCAGGACGCTGGGATCATGACCTGAGCCGAAGGCAGCTGCTTAACCAACTGAGCCACCCAGGCGTCCCTATCATATATCTTATTTTAAGCCACTTTAATGACATTTTAGAATTGAGCCTGATGTTAATCATGAACTAGAACTCAACAACAGTTGGCAGACTCATAGTCTGTGAATTACTGAATTTTAAAACTTAAGGTTTTAATGCTGTAAATTTTCATCATAGCTTTTAACACATGAAAATGCTGACTGGGGGCGCCTGGGTGGCTCAGTGGGTTAAGCCTCTGCCTTCGGCTCAGGTCATGATCCCAGGGTCCTGGGATCGAGCCCCACATCAGGCTCTCTGCTTGGTGGGGAGCCTGCTTCCTCCTCTCTCTGTCTCTGCCTGCCTCTCTGCCTACTTGTGATTTCTGTCAGATAAATGAATTAAAAAAAAAAAAAAAAAGAAAGAAAATGCTGACTGAACTTAGCTCCCTGCCCGAAATATAAATTTGTTGGGCCTTTTTTACTCCCCTGAAGGCCTTAAATAAAATTGAAATCTGTTACCAACAGAAGGTTTATTATAAACAGGATATATCGTAACATTTTTTGTTCTTTCTAAGAAGTAAGGCTTCCCATTTGCTTAGCATGTACAGTCTTTAAGTCCTTTCATATACATTTATTTGTGTTTTTTGAACTTTTTTACCTAGCATTTTCACATTTTATTTCCAAATAAATAGGACAGAAAAAATTAGGCGCTTGAGGTAGCCACATCCAAATTATCCAAAATATTTATTCATCTAAGCAAAGCAGTTTTGGTTTTTTTTGTTTTTTTTTAATTAAAGTTGTGTGTGAGAGAGAGAGAGACAGAAAGATAAAGAGCACAAGGCACAAGTAGGCAGGGAGACAGGGAGAAGGAGGCTTCTCTGCTAAGCAGGGAGCCCGATGCAGGACTCAATCCCAGGACCCTGGGATCACAACTCGAGCCAAAGGCAGCCGCCCAACAGACTTGAGCCACCCAGGCACCCCAACAAAGCAGTTTCTGTGAGCTGTTACTTTACCTGGATTTCTGTGACTTACCGTAACCTTCTTTTTTTTATTTTCAAAACTACACATTCTAGTAGGACTTTACCACCCCCATTTCTACTAAGAATTTCTTTTCTAGAATTTAAGAAACTCAGGGTCAAATTAAAATACATTAAAGGGGAGGAAGCCGTGCTCTGAAAACCGCTAAACTAATGACATTACACAAACAGTTCTCAAAGTTTGATCAGTACAGCAGTAGCAGCAGCTTCACCTGGGGACGGGTTAGCAGGGCCTGTTCTCACTCTGCCCCAAGCTCTGTGGAGTGTCAGAGTTTGGGGATGGGCAGCCATCTTGCCGCTCGCACACCCTGCACGGGGTTCTGCCGCGGGTACAGCTAACAGCTGACACCCACTGCCAGCAGCTAGGTCGTGTTCTGTTTCATCGCATTTTCTTATTATGTGGTGATTGGTTTGTTGGTTTCAGGTTACAATGCCCTTTTAAGATATGAAGGATTTGAAAATGACCCTGGGCTGGACTTCTGGTGCAATGTCTGTGGCTCTGACATCCATCCAGTCGGCTGGTGTGCAGCCAGTGGAAAGCCCCTTGTCCCTCCCAGAAGTAAGTGGCCTCTTGACCCCTATTGTAATTGAATATTTGTACTTCAGTGCAGTGTCACACATAGTAATATTCAAGGGATATCAAAATTACAATAATACTTTTTGGTTTCACATCTTACATGCTCGCAAGATATACTTGTGGTTTTTCTGTTTGTTTTTTGGGTTTTTTTGTTACTCTTCTTACAGAACCTTAATACTCTGAATTACAGGGGAAATTGTTGTGGTTTGAAAAAATAGTTTATGAAGCAATTCTGCTCTTTGCTAAAGTGTAACTGGTTATTTCTTTTGTTTTAGCTATTCAGCATAAGTATACAAACTGGAAAGCTTTTCTAGTGAAACGACTTACTGGTGCCAAAACACTTCCTCCCGATTTCTCACAGAAGGTAAAGACAGGATCTTAGAAAGGACTGAAGTGTCAATTGAGAGCTCTAAAAAAGGAATAGCCTGGAAGTTTTTTTAAGGAATTATTTTAATTTAGTGAGCCAGATGATCTAGCTAAATGTCGAGTGCACTCAGTATTTTTAATGGTATAATATTGAGATTATCTGTAGACCTTTGTCATGAATTCCGAACAGTCTTTGTTTGCTTTTGTTTAAGGTTTCAGAGAGTATGCAGTATCCTTTCAAACCTTGCATGAGAGTAGAAGTGGTTGACAAGAGGCATTTGTGTCGCACGCGAGTGGCAGTGGTGGAAAGTGTAATTGGAGGAAGATTAAGACTAGTGTATGAAGAGAGTGAAGATAGAACAGATGACTTCTGGTGCCATATGCACAGCCCGTTAATCCATCATATCGGTTGGTCTCGAAGCATAGGCCATCGATTCAAAAGATCTGGTAAGCACCTATCACAGGACCACCTGTTGAAAACATCATTGAGGCTAAATTGTACTACCTGGTTATTTTTGCTCTACAGAATAGCAGAGATCAGAAATAGCATTCTAGTTGTCTGGGCTGCTCATTCTGCCTTAATTAGGGAAGGTTCACACCAGAATAGGAGTGTCCTGACTCCTTTATATTCCTTCCACTTGTTCTCAGTTCAAATATAATGCACTTCCGGTCACAACTACACTTGTTGTCTTAACACTTTTCCTAGCCGGCCCATTTGAAAGATCTAAAGGTAGCCTTTCCCTTTGCATTCAGTTCTAATCAAAAGAACAAGATTAAATGTGGTTAGACTTAATACTAAACACATTAAAGCATACCTCTGAAGTTGTGATTCCCTAACTAGGGAATTACCAGCATTCTGACTGGCTGAATGTATTTAATAGCACATGTACTCTGAAGAGAGAAAGACTATTAGAAGATACTTTTCACCATAAATGTGGAAGGCATGTATTTCTGCCATGTTTTAGAGTATACATACCTTGTGAGTTTGAAACCTTCAAAGAAACGTGGTTTTTGGTCTTCTCACAAATGCTGACAGATTAGTATGTAACTTTTCCTTGTAGATATTACAAAGAAACAGGATGGACATTTTGATACACCACCACATTTATTTGCTAAGGTAAGAAGTTTTTATAAGAACCCTCATTTGTAAATTAGGTTTGAAAGAGGGTTGTGGGTTTTTTCCTAACATTATGGAAATCACAATTACATTTGTTCACGTAAAAGGAATTAAGACCTTGTGATCCATAGGTGTCACAACTATTGATTATAATTTTTCTTAAATTCTCTCTGTTTGCCTGAGTTCTCTCTATTCTCTAACGGAAGTTTGAGTTATAATATTAGGTAGGTAGGAGAAGGCATTTGATATTTTCATCTGATAAGTGTTTTCAAATTGGTAATATTTTAATTGTTAGAATGATAACATTTGTAACAGTGGCTGTGCTTTCATGTAATTCTTTAGGTAAAAGAAGTAGACCAGAGTGGGGAATGGTTCAAGGAAGGAATGAAATTGGAAGCTATAGACCCGTTAAATCTTTCCACAATATGTGTCGCGACTATTAGAAAGGTAAGACTATAGGTTTTCAAATTCAGAAATGCAACTGTAAGAATTGGGTTTAAGGTAATAGGAGAAGGAGGCCCTTAACATATTCATTCGATTCCGGTGCCTGGGTGGCTCAGTGGGTGAAAGCCTCTGCCTCAGGGTCTTGGGATCGAGCCCCGCATCAGGCTCTCTGCTCAGCGGGGAGCCTGCTTTCTTCCCTCTCTCTCTGCCTGCCTCTCTGCCTACGTGTGATCTCTGTCAAATAAATAAACAAAATCTTTAAAAAAAAAAAAATACTCTTTCTGACATAAAAGGTATGTATCTTGACCTTCACCAGGGGGAAGGATACTAGTAAAATAAATTCCAGTTTTCATATCAGTGTTTTTTAGAGCTTGTCAAGATTTTCATCTTGAGTCTGCTGCCTTTATTTATGGAGCTGTATATCCTGAGTTAAAGAATATTTGAGTTTACTTCCTGGTCAAAGCTAATCCAATACAGAATTGTAACAAGACCAAGTTTATCTTCAGCTTCCTGGTTTTTTTCGTTTTGTGCCTTTTTTCTTCTTTTGATAATACTTTATTTCTTTCTTTTTTCCTCTCTCCTGAAGCTCCGTTTATGAAAGGCTTTAGAAGAGTTGTTCTTGGGCTGCCTGGGTGGTTGTGTCATTAGGTGTCTGCCTTCAGCTTGGGTCATGATCCTAGGGTCCTGGGATCTAGCCCCACATCGGGCTCCCTCCTGGGTGGGAAGCCTGCTTCTCCCTCTCCCACTTCCCCTGCTTGTGTTCCTGCTCTCACTGTCTCTCTCTCTCTGCCAAATAAGTAAATAAAATTTTAAAAAAAGAAGAAGAAGAAGAAGACTGGTTCTCAATTCAAGTAGGCATAAGAATATGAATACCCTGGGAAACTTAAAAAAAAAAATAAAAGTGACTAGACCTCTTAAGTGTCTACCCCATCCCTGTTCTGATTTCATCAATCTGCTGGGGGGCCCTGGTATTGACTTATTTTTTTTAAGTCCCCAGGTAATTGTCCGTTACAGCCATAAGAACCACTGATCAGAATCTGCTTATATAAGAGCATAGCTTGAATTGTTATTTGCATTTCAACCCAGTTTAAAGCCTTGAGCCAAAAGAACTAAAAACAGTAATGATTGTTGCCATGTCCCAGGCTCAAGATCACACAGTTAGATGAGACCTGCTCCAAGCTTTTGTTCTTCTCTTTACCTGACTAGTGATCAGAATCACCCAGTATGATTTAGAGCAGATCTCTGGAGCACCTGGGTGGCTCAGTTGGTTAAGTGTCCAACTCTTGGTTTCAGACCATGATCTCAGGGTCATGAGATTCAGAGATCATGATCTCTGGGTCACGTCAAGCTTCATGCTCAGCACAGAACCTGCTTGAGGTTCTCTTCCTCTGCCCTGCCCCCACATGCATGCACTCTCGCTCTCAAAATCTTTAAAAAAAAAAAAAAAAGATTACCTTTAAAAATAAATAAATATATAAATAAATAATAGATTTCCATGACCTACTCCAGACTACTCAGTCAGAATCACAAGAAGTATTACACAATAATGTATTTGTTTAAAAAAGATACAGTTCTCTAGGTGATTCTGTTAGTCAGGTTTGGGAACCAGTGCCATTGTACCATGCTCTGTTGCATGAAATGGAATGAAGTGTCCAGTGAGTATAGCATCAGACTTCACTCAGGAATTGCTTAGTTAATACTCGGCTGTGCTAGGTTTGGTCTGGACTCTTAAAAGCTTACAGTCTTGTAAAATAAGGTAAGATACATGAAGAGAAGTTTGTTTGAGGATCGACTGTGACTTAAGAAAGGTACACAGTACTGAAGGAATTCAAATAAAGGAGAGATCACATAGTCTCAGAGGAATCAGGTAAAGCTCTATAGAAGAGAAGGTATTTGAAAACGTCATCTTGAGCATTGGGAAAAACAGCCCCGCAGAGATGCAGGGAGGAAACTGTAGTGGAAAGAGGGTGTGACCAAAAGCATGAAGATAGGAAAGCACAGGCCAGGTTTGGAAGAGACAGGTCATTCACACAGTACACGTCAAACGAGTTGCACTGGGGGGCGCCTGGGGGGCTGAGTAGGTTGAGCGTCTGACTCTTGATTCTGGCTCAAGTCGTGATCCTCAGGATCATGAGATCAAGGCTCGTGTTGGGCTCCACAGGCAGAGCCTGCTTTTAAGATTTTTTCTCCCTCTCCGTCTGTCCCTCCCCTGCGAACGCGCTGCTCTGCCTGCCCCCTCCCCCAAAAATACAGGTTGTGCTGAGTATTCTGGCCAAAACTTCTGTTACATAAGGAACAGAAACCCACTCAGGTTAGCTTTAGGAAAGTTGCCCTGAGGCCAGGGCAGTCTCATAGACATGCAAGGATGCAGGAAGAGAACCAGAAAGCCGTAAACCCAGTGCAATTCTCTCCGCCTCTCAGGGCCTCTGTCCCACCTCTTCTCTGCTCTTTCACTTTTGTGGGTGGCTTCTGCTCACTCAGTCTCCGTGTGTGGCTGCTGGCTCCATTCTCTGTGACGGGCTTCCAGCTCCAGCCCCTGACTTGACAAGTAGTTTAATCCTAATCCCCAGAGAGAGTCTAGCTGAGCCCAGCCTCTGGCTCGGTCCTCTAAGTTAGATACTAGTCCCCACTCTGGTCAGCTGTAGTTGGAAAAGGGGAAAGGAGTCCTATTGAGTGAGGGTAGCCCTTTCCAAAAGTGTAGGCAAGGCTGTTAAACTCAAAGAGGAAGTTCACTGGGTACATATCCAACATAGTAGAAACAACTAGGGAAAAGGGCACTTTGGGATAGAAACTAAAAGATAATGTGGAACCAAGTGAGGCAGGCTTTGTTTTGGTTTTTCTTTTTTTAAGATTTTATTTATTTATTTGAGAGAGGGATAGACATGAGCCGGCGGGGGTGCGGGGGTGCCATGGCCATGGGAGACAGAGAAGAAGGCTCCGCATTGAACAGGGAGCTCATTGCAGGGCTCAGTCCCAATGCAGGGCCCAGTCCCAATGCAGGGCTCGATCCCAGGATGCTGGGATCACGACCTGAGCTGAAGGCAGATACTTAACCAACTGAGCCACCCAGACACCCAGTCATGCAGGCTTTGAATATGTGGTCAGGTCCTCTGAGCTTTCTCTGGTGAACAGAGCTTCCTGATGTGAACAGAGGTCATACCAATGAAATGTTAAGCTGTGTAAGACGGGAACTGTCCAAAGAGGAAGGCTGAAAGCAGTTCTCATACCATGTAGTGGAAAGAGAGTTCATGGCACAGATAGAAGGAGGAGTCGTGGGACCTGGTGCTTGCTCACCTTTAAAGCTGGCTTTGACACCCTGCATGGACATGTGCATGTTTAGCACACAGGGAAAAGGCAGGACTAAGACCTTGCAAGGGATACAGACTTCCAGCAGACCTGGAGAGGAGTTGTGGGCGTGGAGGTTGATTACTGAAACAATTGTGTAGATGACGTTGCCAAAACAGAAAAGGGCCAAGATCAGAAATGTAAGGGTTGGAGGTAAAAGGACACCACCAACAGGAACAGGCAGTAGACTGTAATGTAATGAGAGTCTGGGAGAAACCGTTTCAGAAAGTTGAGAGTAGTCAGCAGGTGTGGGAATACTTCAGGGACACTGAGGTTTGAGGAGGGTGCGAGTTGGAGGAAAGGTACTTGGTCACCCTCTGGTCAGACTTGGTCACTGGTGATTTTAGCATTCTAGAGGGATCAGGACAAATCAGACCGCAAAGACATATAGTACACACCTGCAAGTGGGTCTCTGAAGTGTCTAGGAGTTCGTCTTACTGTTCTTGTACCTTTTCCATGTTTCAAAACAAAGTATCTTTAATAGCTTAAGTGTAATGGAAATTGGGAGACGTTAGAAGATAAGAAATAGTATTTTTGGAGAAAAGTACCAGCGGTAATAGGACAAGATAGAAAAGTTTGTCTTGGGGTGTAGGGTACCACGTCTTAAAACAGGGGAAAAGAAAGGAATATGGGAACCCTTGCACAGGGTGACCTTAGTTTCTGTTAGAAAGGAGCATGGGTGTGTGTAGCATAAGAGAGTTAAAACAGAGGCATGACAAAGCTGGAAAAGGTTTGGAAAAACTCCTCTGTGTGCTAAATCAGAAGAAAGAAGTAAAGTTATGATGAATGGAACTTCAAAGCTCACCGAGACAGGACAGTTAAATTGGAGAGGAGAACTCAGCCTTGTTTCATGGGGCCACAGCAGCCAGCACTTTACCCACTGGCAAAGGCACAATTTGTCCTAGACCTCTGAAGTCACTTCTATGTAACCCTGCTTTTGTTCTGGTACACGGTGCAATCTACAGAGGTTTTTCATTATCATTTCAGTTAGTAACATAATTCAGTGAAGAAGCGTTTTTCACTTTGAAGAGACCATTATGTAATAGATTTTCCTTTCTTTTAGAATGTCAGTTTAAAGGGTTGCTTTTATAATAGTGGTATCTAATTTCACATACCTGGAATTCTCTTAATTTAAAAGGTGCTGGCTGATGGATTCCTGATGATTGGGATCGATGGCTCAGAAGCAGCAGATGGATCTGACTGGTTCTGTTACCATGCAACCTCCCCTTCTATTTTCCCTGTTGGTTTCTGTGAAATTAACATGATTGAACTTACTCCACCTAGAGGTACTTCATCCTAATATGTACACTGGTTCTTCATCCTTACCTTCTTTTTACATGGTATCTATTTACATCATTTAACCCAGCCCTGAATTTGGTGCTGTGTGAACCTACGATATGTGCTTATGTGTAGATAAACGTGCATATACACAAGAGGTGTGGGGTGCTCTGAAAATATAAAGCACTGTATTCTAGCTAGCTTTAATAAATTATATTAGTATAGAATTTTTCCTGAACATCTATACATTTTATAATATGAATTGGTATTCTCCAAGCCCTATTGAGATGGTGAGGTAGGTAATTGCACACATAAACTTTTGTTAAAAATAGATACAGGCTAAAGCCTTTGAGGGAAAGCAAGTTTCCATCTTTAGAGTATCATGTGACTCTTAAAAAAAAAAAAAGGCATACCCTTAAATATCTCTCAAGGCATAACCAGTGTCTTTCCTAATTTCAGTATCAGAGCCTTGGGTTTTTCTCTTAAGAAAAGAAGGGGGGGAAACTAAAACAGAGGTCTGTAAAAATAGTATTTCCCCAACCAGTTTTCTTTCTTGGAAAGACAGAAAAGTATCACTGTGAAGTATGAAATGCTAGATTGTCCTAAGTCTAGGATTTTAAATGCAAAATTCTGGAACTCTTGTGGTAGACAGGAGAGAGACACTTTTGAATTAGGTGCGAAAGTGCACCTATGTCTGTCTAGAAACAAAAGAAACATGGAGGAATGGTTGCATTTGAATATATTAGAGCAAGAGTTAAAAGTTTATTATATAATCTAAAACCTGAGCTCTCAGTGTATACTAAGTTTTTATCTACATTTTAATCTTTCACTAATTTTAAATGAACTGCTAGTTAAATGAGGTGTGTTTTTCAGGTTACACAAAACTTCCTTTTAAATGGTTTGACTACCTCAGGGAAACTGGCTCCATTGCAGCACCAGTAAAACTATTTAATAAGGTAAGTTGAAATAATGGCATAATAATTATGTGGAGTTTTTTTGATGCCTCGCAAATGCAAATCATTGTTGATCAAAGTGTCTTTGCTTTGCATTAGAGTTTATTAATGGAGATTTACATAAACAAATATACAGTAATAAAACAATATATTTTCTTTACCTAGGATATGAAGCTCGTTTTCAAAGTTGGCTTCATTTTTAATCTGAGTAAAATAGAAATGAATACATTTTCCAACTAGTTTCTTATGTAACTTCACCTTCATGTGTTTTTTTTTAATTTTTAAATTTTTTTATTAACATATAATGGATTATTCACCTTCATATGTTTTAATAATTAAAGAATTTTTTAGGGATTTTTAGTTTATTTAAATTGGGCTATTTGGTTACGTTGCTTTTTTTTTTTTCCCCCCCTTCTTTCTTGGTGATAGTGGACTCATGCTGCCTTCTTTTCACCAGTGGTAATGTTTTGCTTCTTCTATGTCAGGATGTTCCAAATCACGGATTTCGTGTAGGAATGAAATTAGAAGCAGTAGATCTCATGGAGCCACGGTTGATATGTGTAGCCACAGTAACTCGAATTATTCATCGTCTCTTGAGGATACACTTCGACGGATGGGAAGAAGAGTACGATCAGTGGGTAGACTGTGAGTCCCCTGACCTCTATCCTGTAGGGTGGTGTCAGTTAACTGGATATCAGCTACAGCCTCCGGCTTCACAGTGTAAGTTGGTATACAGAAAAGGTGTCCTTTTGTAAAAATCAGCAATTCTCCAGAGGACTGTTTCACATAAGTCATCTTGTGAGCTCACAGGACAAGAATATACCTTTGTCTGATTGGTTGCCAGGTAAGGTCGTAAGACTGAACAACGCTATCACAGACTCAGACCATGGGTACCACAGCAGTGTGAACCCAGTAGCCAGTTACATAATGACTCTAGACAGAAACACCATAGTAAGAGCAACCTCCAAATGCAGCTAGACTTGTGTTAACAAGTTTGAAATGATAGGCTAAAATGTATTTTACAGAATAAGTGCTTACTGAATAAATAATGGAATCTGTCTGGTATCTTGGATTTTACAGGAACATGGTGCCCTTATTTTCAAAGCATCATGTACTTTTATAAGCATAATGGTTTTTGGTAAAGATAATTCGTCTAAGTTGTATTTAGAGACGTGTGCTCAGAGTGCTTATCTGGTACCAATTTTCCTTTTTATTTTTCAGCGTCAAGAGAAAGCCAATCAGGTTCTTCAAAACAGAAGAAAAAGGCTAAGTCCCAGCAATACAAAGGACATAAGAAAAGTGGGTCACCACATGGTGTTTATATACATTTCCTAAGCTGTTAACCAGTTAGGGTCACAGCATTCTCGCACAGAAACTAACATCCCTTGTGAGAGCCGGTGACTGTTCATTATGTATTTTGCTTAAAGGTGCAGTATGCCATAAAAGGCAAACCTCAGTAATGAGAAACACTTCTATTAGTGGGCAGGAAAAATGATCACCGTAATATTTTAAAACATGTATGGTGAAGAAGAGAGCACAAATAGTTCTCGAAATCATATGTAAACCTACTGAAAATTAATTTTTTTAATCTTTTTTGTAAAACTTAAAAAAGGGAAGCACTTGATATTTACAGTGACTTAGAGCCTAAGAAGCCCATCCTTACAAATCAAAACTCTCCTTCTAGAATAAGATTTTATAAGAAATTCAAGTTGGTGGCTAACAAAGGCCTAAAAATTTTTTTCTAAATATGCTTTCTGTATTATTTTTTACCTTACGATGAATGGTTATTGGCATTAATAGTCAAAATAATATAGACTATATTGATAGCCCTTAATTTTTACTCTTTTAACATCTTTTTTCCCCCCACATAGGAAGCCACAGGTTTTTCTCTTCATGACACTCCTCATGGACTATTTCATTCTGAGATAAGATTATTTTTATATAAAGATACTTTTAAAAGTAAAGAGTACATTTAAGGGTTAAAACTAAAACATATTTTTCCAGCTGACTTGCCATATGTTCAGATAAGTTTTAATCTGTCTCATTAACCACCAAGAGACTGAAGCAGCATGAAGAATCATACATACCCTTACTTTCTCATTACAGTCACTTGTTTTATAGTTGCTGTTTTTTTCCGCACTGGGGGACAAAAAACTTCTACCAGCCACTACCATGGTGCTCTCGTGTCCTTCCAGCATGAAATTACGTCCGCCTCAACACTGATAACCTCCAGGCCTTTCTCTCACTCTTTCTTTTATATCAGAGATACAGGCCTCCCGTTTGTCCAGTTGCTTTTCCCACTAGCTGCTTGTCAGGTTCGATACTCACCTGAAAGAACTCTAGAGAACATTGCCAGGCAGGCAGATCGAAGCAATCCCCATGCCTCCGGAAACACGGAGGAAGAATTCACATGGAGGCTCTTGTCAGTGGACTAGCCATAGCACACATGGTCACTAAGCTTTCTGTGAGGTTGGATAGCACAGGCTGTGTTAGCCCGCCTTTTCACTTTCTGTTGGGCAAGACTGAGATTCAGAATTTTCTTTCCAAGATGTTGCATTAAGAACATTTATTATTACATGACATATTTTTTAGAAATATCTGAGCATTGGGTACACATGCCTCCCTCACATTCACATGCCTCCCTCTGTGTGACTTTTGTGGGTTTGTTTCCACCTTAAGGGGTTTAACGATTTTGAATTAATTGGGCCAGGCACATGGGAAGAAGTATGAAACTAAAGAAATGATAGTATCAGTATGCCAGTTTATAGGGACATTTAATGGTACCACATTTCTTGATTAGTTGGGGAAATGAATTTATGTGTAAATATACCGTGTTCTTTAACTGTAATGTTTTGTAATAGCTCTTAATATTATGGCATCATCTCATGCCTTTAAATCGTTCTTTGGGCATAGGAAGGAAAAGGACAGTAAGCCCACAGTCCCTTATTAGAAACCCTTGGGACCAGATGTGTTTTGGAATTCAGAATTCTTCAGATTTTAGGAAAGTACAGCATAGCATATATCACATAACACCCCTTCCAGACTCTGGCACATTTTCTGAAGCAAAATATATGTAAATGTTTACATTAAGTGGGCCAAATAAAGATTAAAAAGAGTATCACCAAGTGAGGTCTGGTTTTGTTGCCGAAGTTTTATAGGAAAGCTGAATTTTGGAATTGAGGATAAGGAATTACAGTGCCATATGAGTGAAGAAGCAGCAGTCTTCATTGTAACTCCCTGTTCCCTTTATTGTTTTTGTATAGCTCACCATATAGTTCATTAGACATTTTTCCTGCAAAACTTGCCCAAATAAGAAAGAATTTGGAGTCCATAAATGTAATTTATCCATTGCATGCAGTATCATTAGCAGATCAGCCACAGACTCTTCTTTTTAAGTTTGCTTACAGATTATTGTATTCGGGCTCTTTGGTTTCATCTTCGGGCTCCTCAGTCTTTTTGTACTCAAAATCATCCATTGGTGTGTTCTTTGGTAGTGTTGCTTTTTGTTTGGTTGTTTTGCGTTTTGTTTTGTTTTAGCAGAAATAGTTGATTGGCTTCATTGTTCCAGCTTGTTTTGAAGTGATCTGTGTTCATGCTACAAAGGGATAATCATTGACCAGTGCTTTTGAATAACGACAGTGTTCTGCCAAGAGAATCAGATAGACAGTTGCGTGCGTGTGGTCTGTCCAATATGAAAAGCCTTATTTTTTTTCAAGGTTTAGTAATTCGAGAGCCGGAAACCCAGCACACTAATTTCTGAACCATCTTTAGGGGACTGTTTGAAGCAGTAGAGAGCTGGAGATCCTCCTTGGATTTTTACCTCTGAGTGTGTCATACATTAGGAAAAGTCTAAATGATTTTTGCTGCATGTGATTTTGGTTCGGCAGTTGAGAGTTGAATGTGTACTCACTACTAGCTTAGTCTCCAGACCATTTTACAGAAGAATACTGTCTGACTTAGATTTATCTTTTAGTCCTGATTTCGTGAAGCGTAATTTCTGATTGCTCTTGCTTTGATCGTTCATATGCTCTGGAAGAAGACAGATATAATTTTTAGTCCCAGAGGTATGTAAGTATCCTTCAGCTTTCAGCCTGACTAACGCAGTATGTTGGCTCAGTATTTGCAAAGTTTAGAGTATTTTTTGCTGGTGAAAGCATTGTATAAATCTTCAAAGGCTTATATTTGCTTATGAAACTATGACCAAAAGGTGTTTCAAAAGAAATTAGATTGCTTAAGTACTTGCAGGCAACAAGCTTTAGATTTTAGAAATGCTTTTCAGAGTAAGAATTGTGTTTTCTAAAAGACTGGATTGTAATCCGAAAGGTAGGAGAGCACATTTCATATCAGTAAATCCTGCCACCTAGATAATACATTTTTTCAGCCATTTAATTCTCCCCAAAAGCCAATCCTTTCACTTTATATGGCAGTGAAATGCTACCCTACAAGTAGGGTTCTAAAACTTTCTCTCTCTTCCATTGGATTTTCAGCCTCCTTCAAGATAAAATTTTCTTGAAGGAAGTTAGCCTGCTATTCTCCACACTGAATGTTCTGGGGGTTCATTTTGCTTTGTTGTATTTTATTTCATTTTATTTTTTAAGATTTTGTTTTTAAGTAAAAAAACTTAAACTGCGAGTTCGGGCCCCATGTGGGGCCCGAACTCGCAGCCCCGAGGTCAAGAGTTGTAGTGTGCTCCACGGACTGTACCAGCCAGGTGCCCCACTTCGTTGTATTTTAAGTTGATGTAAGAGTCAGGAACCAGGATTCCCAGGCTCTCAGAGACCAGAAGTAATCTCCCCCATCATTCACCCTGAACATACACACCCCCACACGTACACACCCTCACAGTCCTTGTTTCCCGAAATGCAGACCTTGCATAGTCGGTTCTCTTTCCAGAGTATCCTATGCAACACAGTCTTTCCTAGTTGTAATGCACTTTTCTTACCACACATGTAAGTAAAAGCTTACTTCAGTTTGACTTGATATTTAGAGAGGAAGATGCCAGTTGGGAAGAAGCCTGTCAGTTTGTCGAGCCTGCCCATGACAGGTGGGGTGCGGAGGAGCTTCTCTGGTGACGAAGAGTTGACTCCTCCTCCATATCGAACCCTTCCAGCACAGACAGCCCCAGAGGCCTTCCCACCTCCCAGCACTAGCCGAGAGTTCAGTCCCAGCCTCAAAACAGGTAATAGTCCCCTCCGCACCTCAGGTACTACAGGGGTTGAAAGTCTGGGCAGGGCGGTGGGAGACAAAGCATGGTCCGGCATGACAGATGCTGACTCATTAAATTTTTCTTTTTTTTTTTTTTTTTTTTTTTTTCAACTAAAAACTTCATCTTCACTAGTCCTTGGGAGTCACTTCACTGAAGTTGAATCATCAGGGAGGGATTTTTATTTTCTTTTAAACCACTTCTTGAGCCTCACTTTAAAGTAAAGCTCATCATTTCAGTTGCTGGAATTGTGAGACAACTTGTAGTGTTCCGTGGTTTCATTAAATTAGTTGAACATTTTCCATTGCAGAATTCCATGTGGTGTGACCTGGGGGAGAAGGACACCACGAGGGATCAGCCTGATTAATCAGACCCAAAGATGAGGCTTTTCGTCTCTCACTCACTAGGAAGGATGTGTTTTGTGTTCCTGTGGAATTTGGGGTCTGGTGGTAACCCTGTGACCACCACTGTAGTTGAATAACGTGAACTTGGACCTAAATACTTGTATAATTTTGGTGTTGAATTTGAGTAAAATTTCATAACTTCATGTTTCTGTATTTACACCGATTTAGTAAGTGACATTTAATTTGAATTTAATTGATCTGGCCAAGCTAGTACATTGTAAGGAAAACTGCAAAAGGTTTAGCCCTTCGTAGTTGCTGAGAGCAAACGTGTTATCATAGAGTACCCGAGAGGCTTCCCTTGCATGTGATGAACTTCAGGAGTGAGTCGGGAGAGACGGCTTCACAGCCTGAGTCCTACAGGCCTTGGCATGTGTTCTGCTCTATCCTAGCTGTTGCTTTTAAACTCGGTGGTTTTATTCAGTCGGCGGTCTTCACAATGCCTTTTGTGTGTTGGAAACCCTGATGGGACTTGATACTTAGCTCTGTTTTCTTCTTCCTCTGTTTGATAATGTCTTTATGTCTGAAGTTTCTTGGGGTTTTGGCTTTTGTGGGGTATTTTTGGCTTTTTTTCATGGGTGTGGATTTTGGTTTTTTCTTTTGGTTTTGGTTTATTTTGTGGGAGGAGGTTGGGGGGGGTGGTTTGCCTTGTATTCTTTAGCTTTTGCCTCCCTACCAGTGTATTAGGTCATCTTCATCCTTCCTAGTCTGTCTCTCTGAAGATACTCTGATATCCTTATATCTAGAGGAAATTACTATGCCTTTTTTGTATTAAAAAAAATAGACTAGGACTGCAAACTTAAGTTTATCTGCTCCTGGGTGGAAAAACGTTCAAAGTCTGAAGAACATTTCAGTTTCTCTTGTTTGTCTCTGATTTTGTTTTTGTACTTGTTATTTATGACATACTCTTCTTTAACCTAAGTCATTAACTATAGATATTGTGAGCTCTGAATATGTTTGAATTTTTATTGGGTGTTAGGTGTTTTCTTTAAGCATTGGACTAACTTAGGTGTGTGTCAGGTTCTGTGAGAGGTTACTGATTTATGTAAAATAGAACTTCTAGGATTGGCAAAACCCAAGAACTCAGAGTAGACGCGTGGGATGGAAACCAGGGGGTCTCCTTGATGCCCTTCTTCCACTGGTGTCTGTACTGCAGCCTCAGCTGGGGGCACATCTCTTGGGACATGGTGTGATCTTTCTCTGCTGAAAGTGTGTGGGGGACTGCATTCCTGTCTTAACTACCTGAAAGCTGCAGTTTCATTAGCCACTGAAAATTTATTATTTCTGGACTTCCCCAGCTAGGAAAATATGATTTCCATTAGCTTATCTCTTGAGATGTTAGTGAGTAGAGCCCACAAAGTGACTTCCTTTTAAAAAACGGTGCTCAGGAGATGCACTTGCATGGAAGTTGGCATTTTATTTCATCCATCATTCATTGAGAATAAGGCCTGGAAAAGAGAAATGATTAGTCTGAAGACACCAGACAGGCTTTATTTTAGGTTCCATGAACAGTGAAACTTTGCATGAAAGCATTCTACATCTGAGTGAACGGTTTCACCTTTATCTTAAGTTACTTTATTTTAAGCACATTGTTTCCATATTTTAACATGTGTAGAAGCATAATCCAGAAATTCATTGTTAATAGTAAATGCAAATAGTTTCAGAACTGTTTAGAATCTCAGCTTACCTTTCTTACATTTCAAAAAAAAACAAAAAACAAAGTAACATCGGTTTGAATGGAACGTGTTTGGTCTTGAAGCACTGGAGTTCTTTTCTCATTCATATAGCCATCTGACCATCCTATAACAAGATACTGTTTCAACCAACCTTTTATCGTGGGTACTGCACCTTTAATGACCTTGGGTTTTTCTTTCCCATGTGTTTATTTTCACAGCATTGTTCAAATGTCCTTAACAATTAATGTGTGTTGGTTAGATTTGAAAGATAACTAGTATATATATACTTGATACTCTCCATAAAAGCATTTTTAATTTTATTATTATTATTTTTTTTTTTTTTACAAAGAAAAGAACTGCACAGTCTTGTTTGCTTTGACTTTCAATAGTCTGATTCGTGTTTGTTTTGTTGCTATTATAGGAATAGTGTATTTGCTTTTCTGTCTTTGGGCTATGAAGTTTCTTAACACCATTACCAAAACAAGTACCAAAGTAAAATGAAATGAATTGACATCTCTCAAAAGAGTATTTTGAAATTATTAAGTAAGGTGTCAAAGACCTTAAGATTTCTTTTTAAAGTAACCTCTGCAGCCACTGTGGGGCTTGAACTCACAACCCCGAGATCAAGAGTCACATGCTCTGCAGACTGAGCCGGCCAGGCACCCCAGAAACCAGTATTTTTGGAACTAATCTTTTATAACTAAGATCAGGACGGAAAATATTTTTCTATGACTGTACTGTTTGACTCTAAAAGTGTAACCATTTTAGGGCACCTGGGGGGCTCAGTTGGTCAAGTGTCTGCCTTCGGCTCAGGTCATGATCCCCAGGGTCCTGGGATGGAGTCCCTCATTGGGCTCCCTGCTCTGCAGTGGGTCTGCTTCTCCCTCTCCCCCTCGCTTGTGTGCGCATGAGCTGCACTCTCACTCTTTCTCGGAAAAATAAGTAAAATCTTTAAAAATAAGAAAGTAAAATTGTAACCATTTTAATATGGTTCCACATGGTGACACTGTCTAGTTAGTACTTCATGAAAACTTAGCTCACTATTTATCTAAATACTCTATGAGTCCTAATTCTTCTCATAAATTGAACTTTTTTCTGTATAAGCAGTTCCCAGTTTACATCCTGTGTATGTGCTCATCCTGTCTTTCCAGTCATGATGGAAAGATCCACAGTGGAAGAAACAAAAAGTCCGCACTTTTTATTTGGAGCTCGTGCCTGCGGGCAGCAGGCAGCTACTCTCAGGGAGCATGAGCACACCAGCACGAGCGGGGGCCACATGCAGCGCATCCACATCTGTGGCAGGCACCGTGGCAGAGGGAGGCTCAGGCCGCCCAGCTACAGAGCACAGCAGTCAGGGAGTTCCCACTGATCACAGCCCCTGGAGATGGCTGGCCTCCTGGTGCCAAGTCTCCCTGCTTTCCCAGGTCTTAGGTGAAATCTCTTGTCTCAGAGCAGTCAGTCAAATTCAAAAGAACCATGGGACACAGGCCAGGGAGCAGGAAGGACACAGTTTGTGACCTCTGATGGAACACATCTGTGTGCTGAAGAAATTGGAGAAGGAAACTAGCCCTGCTCACCACAGGATTAGATTCCAGTCAGTGTTACTGTTAGCATGCTGGATCACCCATCCTTTCAATTATTTGGAATTTGACCAGCTCAATTTTGGTTAAACAGTAATATTTTTAAGAAACCTGGACACATCTCTGAAAGGTTGGTAGTTAGATAATTTTTATTTAAAAAGTAGGGACGTCGATAGGAAAATCTCAGAATTAAACAGCCTGAAGTTTTTGCCCAAGGCTACTGCTGGGCCCCCCAAAGAAGAAATTTCTCTTTCTCATCATCTTTGCCCTCCCTCCTGTCCCTGAGGATTCTAACTAACTAGTATGACTTCAGTGGCTATAAAGAAATCTAAGCCCCACTGAAAATATTAGAAACTGGAGGAAAAAAAGAAAGAAACTGGAAAACAGTTGTCCACAAAAGACCTCCTGAAATATGACCTGTTTATAAATTGAGGACTGCCTGTACTGTTGGGTTTGTGCTCAGTGGGTAAAGCATGCTATTCTTAATCTCAGGGCCAAGAGTTCAAGCCCCCTGTGGGGTGTGGAACCTACTTAAAATTTGGGGAGGGGGGAGGAAAGGAAAAAAGGAAGTCCTCAGATAAGGACTCCAGCAGTACTGCTGTTAGGTGATGCCATTGGCAGTGTTCACTGTTTTGCACCAGTGATTTTCTCATTGCCAATGTCAGACAAGTTCCGTTTTGCCTAAAATGATGACTCAAGTTTTCCATGATTTTAGTTTTAATACAGGTGATCTAATATCAGTTATCATTTGTTTTTATAAATATGTAAATTATATATATACATAATACCCATCTTATAGATGATAGAAATCTTTGTATTATTTATTTATAAGTACTATTTTAATATTATCATATTTATATCTTTTTTTCTACAGGGAGTCTTTTTAATAAAGGTACTCCTTGGAAATAATAAGACTGCATTGAAGTCCTATTTATTGGGTTGTTACTCATTTTAAATATTATAGTTCAGAATAATGTGAGAAATATGTCATTGTACAGACCTTGACATAAAAGTGAATACTTCACTGTAAGAAAAATTCTAAGTGTTCTCGCCAAATTAGTGCTATGACCTTGACCATTTCATTGAAGATGTCTGTTGTGCAGTATCTTACAGTTCCTTTACGGAACTTTCCTTAACTGCTGATACACTTCGAAAATTAAAATGAATTAAATGTTCCTACTTTGGGGGGTTAATTTTTGGAGCTATTGAAGACATGTAAAGTTGGTGGAACCTGAAGATTGAAAGTAATCTGCATATTCTAGAAAGGCTTAATAACATCGCATACATTTATCCCTTTCATGCAGTGACTACATTGCAGCTGAAGGAGGAGTTGATAGACGGAGAGGATTATAATTTCCTCCAAGGAGCATCTGATCAGGAAAGCAATGGCTCTGCCAACTTCTACATCAAACAAGAGCCCTGAGAGGGCTCCAAAACTGAGGGCGGGAGGGGAAGAATTTTACACAGGACTGATTTATAATCCCTCGAGCTGTACAGCGGGGCTATTCTACTGGGACATTTTGCTAAACATAGAAAATTTCAGTTCCAGATTTTTCAGGTGGGTGGGGAAACTATTTTAGTCGTGGGGGGAAATTTTTCAATTTATAAAGATGGACAATTTTTGTGTTGTATTTGAAGCTTTTGAAAGAATTTTGTAATATTTTCCAAGTTTGGATTTATGTGCATTGTTAACAACTGAAATTCTAACTTTTTGGTAAGATTAAAGTTTAGGTAGCAGGATTGAAGGAAATGATTTAAGAAGGATATAGTTGTAAATGCAAATGAACTGTCATTACAAATGAACCTTTTTTGGTACCTGTTGGGAGATCTTGGGGATTTTAGAAGTTAGGCCAGTCACATCTCCAGCTTCCTTTGCTGCAGAAATATGCAACTGAGCCCGCCTCTCGTGGAGGGTTCATCACCACATAGATCATGGAAGGGGAATTAAATCCGCTTGGTGGCATTTTGTTGTAGCCCATTTTAAATGTTTGTACAGAAATGTTTTTCATTCTGTGAAAATTTATTTGGAGTTCTATATGAAACTGGAAGAACTCTAATACTTTTATATGTTCTCTTTTAATTAAAAAATGATTAAAATTATCCTAACACTAAAGTGTTAAACTGGAATGGTTGACCAGATGAACAGGATCTCAGTGTACACGTTGAGGGGTTGGGGAAAGTATAATATTGTCCTTCGTTCGTTTTCTTTTCCTTACTAAAAGACCCCCCACAAGAGGGATTCTGATCAGTTCTCTGCCATTTCCCTCCATCTGTTAGATAATACTTAATATAACCACACCCCAAAACAGATGTTCTTCTGTATAACCAGTAGAATCAAATCAAAAGTTGTTTAAAGCCAAAAATCAGTTTAGAATTCAAAATCATTCCAGCTCTGCTTTTAACTATCCTGGATTTGTTTAAAAAAAAAAAAAAAAAAAAAACTAATTAGAAAGAGAATTTAATTTTCTTAAAATTCCATATATATAGGTATGTATATATGGTATGAATCGTCTTTTAATTGTATTCAAAATTAATTTTAACAGTAATAACTGATTTGGACCATTTCAAACATTCCCTACTGTAAAATTCACATGGCTTCCTTTAAAAAACAAAAGGATACAAGGGTAAATTGGTGAAAGGTTTGCTCTCTGCATTTTTCTAACTTTCTGAGTTGTGACTGAATGAGAGAGCTCTAGCGTTTACCAGTGAGGTTCATAAACTAAACTCTCAGGAATTAATTGCATCTGTTCTAGAAGTGCTTCTGGGTCTTAGCCTGGCCTCTTTAGAGTGGTAACATTGACCATCTCCTCTGGAATATAGGTAGGGCTAATTAGAAATTAATCAAAATGATTAACCTCTAAAGTCCTTCAGCCTATGGAATGCTTTAAAAAAAAAAAATGGTAATGGAAAGCCCCAGGAGACCATTTTAGGTAAGATTTTTGTTTGAATTTTAAAATGCATAGAACATTAAAAACCAGCAATTTATTTTCTAAAATATTGCTCTACTTTTGGGAATAATAGCATTGGTAATACGCACAGGTTTACCTCATTCTATGCAAGAGGGGTTAATAACATAAGGTTTTGTAGTTGCTACTGGAAGTAAAATTTGTTACTTTATAGTGTAAGAATGTATGGAATCGCATGTCAACATTTCTTAATACTGACTCTTTAGGGGCATAAATGCAGATCATATCAACGCCAAGTTGATTCTCATGTGTCAAATATATGTGAATTCAGCTGTTAAATTACTGGATATTTATCTTAAACAACCTTACTGAGAGGGACCTACTGTAAATGTGACATCCTCACACTTCCCAAATCTTTAACTTTTAAGAATCTTCCCATAAACATAAAGCCTAGAAGAAGACTTCCACAGCAGGGCTTAACCACGGTCTTCATTCTCAGGCTCTGGTTCCATGACAGGAGCTGCAGGGCGTGCTTGGCCATACCTGGGGCTTAGGGGCCCTGTGGGGAACTGGGTAAAACCAGGAGGGATTTGATTTGGAGCCTGGTAGTTAGTTCTGTGCGCAATGCTCATTTGTAGCCAGGTCTTAGAAGCTTCCAGTCATATCGCAAAACCAGGCTCTGAGTGTCTTTGAATGTCCCACCTGTTCGTGAAATGTTTCTTGTCTTGATCCCATGACCAACAGTTAAAGGTTGGCAAGGACTTCCTGTGGTCTCAACACAGTCTGAAGCCCTCCTTGTTGTTCAGGCTCTAACTCCTGCTGCTGATAAACAGAAAACAAGTTAGTGCAGAGGAGAGTGATGTCTTAGCCATAATTCCAGTCGTATGACCCAATAGCCCCATTCTCTTTTACGGTTCAAAACGTACTGCTGACCTTGGGTTTATTTTCATTTTTCTCCTCTTAGAATTATTTGGGGATTTTTGGTAGTTTAAACTCTTTAACCTTTTCCTTGCTGTGTATGAGGAAAGCTAAAGCTGTTATCTTCTTATTCTACGGATACTAACACGGGTTTTCAGTGTTTGTTTGTTTTTATTATATTAATTTTGCGTGATGTGAATACCCTCTCCCATCAATACTTGTATTATGGTGCTATATATTTGGTAATGATCCTTTACTATTGGGAAGGGATTTTAAAAATACTGTGATGAAACTGGGTTGCTTCCTTTGATTTTCATATTTTAAATAAAGCCACAGTCATTTATACAAAAGAAAAGCATCTGTCCCTGGGCAAATCTTTTGAGGACAGAGGTCAAAGTAAACTGCATAAGGTTTTTACATCATTTCTGTATGTATTTGATATATAGATCAATATCTGTACAAATTTAATCTTTTATTTTCTTGGTAACTTGTGATCACTGAGGAAGTATTTGAGACTTTCTCATGAAGTGTATATAATGGCGTGAAAAATTCCTTCAGAGAAACTTATGTTCCTTTCATTTTTACCAAACTGCAAATTTTCAGCATGGATGTGAAAAGCATTAAAATTATAACTTTGTGTACAAGATGAAAATAATTCACTAAATTGCCCTTTTTTACACAAAATAAAACGTTAAAGTTAAGTTGTATTGGAGCAATTCTTTAATACACTTTGGTCTTTGAGGGGTTTCCTTTTTTCTTCAAGATACTGAGTGGCCTTCTGCAGGCGAGCCAGGTGCCTGCCTTCCTCACAGAACCTGTGACCCGATGAGGGGAAAGCAGGCACATTTACTCCTGGATGGCAGGGGAGGAACAATATGCGGGGAGCTGTGTGGACGTGGCTGCGTTTGAGCCAGGATTGCACAAAGGTACATGGCCAAGCCATGGCACGGCAGAGGGGTTGCGGACCGCTGGTGGGGGGAGTCCATCACTGTAGCTAGAACATGGGGGCACAGGGTTGGTGTGCTTGCTGGGGAACTTTCTTTTTTAAGCTCCATTAACCTCAACAGCAGACAAAATTCTTAAGATGTAAATAAGTCATCCCAGCTGGCTCTGGCTGTTTCCATGAGGAAGAAATGCAAGACTCCCTCCTTTACCAACAACTACGTCATTAGTAAATTATTCAACTTTTACTAAAAAAAGAAAAGCAGTTTGTAGAGAATTTTACGGATGTTAAGATAACAGGTGGATTGGGGCTTCCGGGGTTAATTCCATCATCACACTTGAGAAAAACTTAACACACTGCAAGAAAAAAGTAGATCCTAATTTCTGCCCTGCTTTCTCCCTTAAATGGCTTCCACGGTTGCCTAGTACGTTGGAATTCCCAGCTTGGCTCTCATTTACAGTCCCATGAGCTTTGAGATACACGTACTATTCTTGAAACCATTACATGCCCGTTGGGAAAACTAGGTTCCTGGTGTGCTTTATGCCCAACATACGTTCTGAGAGTACCAAGTGTTTCCCTGAAACTAACTTTACTCTTGCGGTGTTATCCAGCCTTGTGAGATCTGGGGACAACAGTAAAGGATTTCTTCTTGCAGACTGTTACTGAGGCCAGTGCGTTTAATATGCGTTCCCAAAAAAGTCTCATGGAATGCATAAAAGGTTCTGAAGGAGGTGTCTGCTCTCACACACCTAGCTGGGTGATAGGATGAGGTCCAAAATCCAAACTTACTCCAGAGGCAGTAACTTTAATCTCACCACAGTCCACCCTTTCTCACTCACTATTTGTTCCAAAGTTCACACCATTCCTCTCAGCTTTGCCCACTCCAAGTTTGATTTCAGTTACCCTCCAAACTCAAAATTTTCACTAAAGGTGAAGGTGGTAAAGGACAGTGACCAAGAGCATGGGGTCCGAAGCCAGCCGCTTTCACTGAAACAATCCTTGTTAATTCTATAACTTGACTCCCATTTCCTCAGCTGTAAAATGGGGCTACTGGGCCCAATCTCCTAGGAGTCGGAAGGATTATAAATAAATTCATATGTGTAGTCTTAGAACAGCCTTGACACAGAGTAAGCCCGTAACTGCTGTCCATCCAAGTATCTCAGCCTGTGAGTCACTGCAAGACTTCCAGACACATTAAAAGGCAGATCTGGGGATGTCTGAGTGGCTCAGTTGGTTAAGCATCTGCTTTCGGCTCAGGTCATGATCCCAGAGTGCTGGGATCGAATCCCTCATCAGGCTCCTTGCTCAGCGGGGAGTCTTGCTGCTTCCTCTGCCTGCTGCTCTGCCTGCTTGTGTGCTCTCTCTCACAAATAGATAAAATATTAATTAATTTAATACAGATCCAGGGACACCTGGGTGGCTCAGTCAGTTAAGTGTCTGCCTTCAGCTCAGGTCCTGCGATCGGACCCTGCATATGCTTAGCAGGGAATCTGCTTTTCTCTTTCCCTCTGCCCCTCCTCCCTCCTCTCTCTCTCTCTCTTAGGGAGTCTGCTTCTCTCTTTCCCTTTGCCCCTCCTCCCTGTCCTCTCCCCACCGCCAAATACAGTCTTTTTAAAAAGTTGCAGAGGTACCTGGGCGGTTCAGTCAGTTAAGCGTTTGCCGTGGGCTCACAGGTCATGATCCCAGGGTCCCAGGATCGAGCCTCACATCCTGCTCCCTGCTCTGCAGGAAGCCGCCTTCTCCCTCGGCCTCTGCCTGTTGCTCCCCCTACTTGTGCTGTGTGTCAAGTAAATAAATAAAATCTTAAAAAAAAAAAAAAAAATGCAGATCCAATGGGGCGCCTGGGTGGCTTAGTCAGTTGAGTGTCCAACTCTTGGTTGTGGCTCAGGTCATGATCTTGGGGGTCCTGGGATCAAGCCCCAAGACCAGCTTAGCAGGAAGTCAGCTTGAGAGTCTCCCTCTCCCTCTGCCCCTCCTCCCCCACTCATCCTCTCTTTCTCTAAAATAATTTTTAAAATGCAGATCTGTGAGCCTGCTCCATCCATAATTGTAATAATCAAACTACTTAATGTGGTAAGAACATGTAGCATGTACAGATATATTAAATGTGAAGTTGAAAAATAATTTAGAAAATGTTAAAACTTGTGAAGTGTTGACTTAAAGCTAGAATCCTGACAGGTTTTGCACCAAACTGTCACTGTATTTTTGTCATTGTCTTGTCGTCTAACCCATATGCATAAAAAAAATATTGTGTCTTTTGAGTCTTTTATGTGCCACTAGCATATGAAGCTTTCTCCAGATGCCTAGCGGAAAACAGCTATTCATAAACCCACATATTTCTCTCATCTCCATTTTTTTTAAAAGGGGAGAGGCAGGGCGCCTGGGTGGCTCAGTGGGTTAAGCCGCTGCCTTCGGCTCAGGTCATGATCTCAGGGTCCTGGGATGGAGTCCCAAATCGGGCTCTCCGCTCAGTGGGGAGTCTGCTTCCCGCTCTCTCTGCCTGCCTCTCTGCCTACTTGTGATCTCTGTCAAATAAACAAATAAAATCTTTAAAAAAAAAAAATAAAAGGGCAGAGGCAGAGGGAGAGAGAATCTCAAGCAGGCTCCATGCCCAGTCCAGAGCCCAACCGGGACTCGATCTCACAACCCTGAGACCATGCCCTAA